CGCTTGCGAAGGGGCAGTGTGAGGACGTCATAGCCGTGGACTGGCGGAGGCAGGATCGGTGGGGTAGGTGGGCGTGACTTCTCGCGCTGCCCAACGCGCCTTCGCCGACCGCCGCGCCATCGCCGATGCCGTTGCTCGCGCTACCGGCGCCACCGGCCGCGCGGGCCGCGCTGGCGGCGCCGCCGCCGGCCGCTGCGGCTCCGCAGAAGCGATCCCTCGCGCAGAATCGCCCTCGGTGCCGCGGCGGGCCGGGGGAGAGGGCGTGAGGGTGTCTGTGGTGGGTAGGGGCCCCTTGCCCATCGGGTCGCTGCGCGCTAGAGCAGCGGCGGCCCGCCTAGGGGGCTCAGGGCGGCCTGCCGGAGGGTGCCCCTAATTATGTGAAACACCTCCGGGGGAGGCCAACTTTGAGTGGTTGTGCCGAGTACTGTTTAAGGGTTGTGGGGCTGCTGTGGGCGGTTTTGGGCGTCCCTGGGGCACCCTCTGGAAGGGTCTGGCCCGTTGGTTCGGGGGGCGTCGCGTCTAGGGGGTGTATTCACACCTCAAAAATCGTTTCACGGAAGGTACACCCCTCCCTAATCTGATGGAAGCAGGAAACTTCCATCCCGGCCGTGGTTCGAATCCACACAGGCCGAAGGTGATGGGTTCGCGTGTCTGGAGGTCTGAAGCCCACCCATTGAGGAAGTGGGGCACTGCTCCGCCCACCCTGATCATGCTGAACAAGCTCCTCTTGTAGCTCGATCGGTCACACCGCCATCGCCGTCGGGGAGAGGGGGGACGACACTGCTTCGGCAGCGTGCACCTCGATCCTGTACCGTGTTTGTTATGACCCCACCCAATGAGCACACCAGCGAGGGAGGGCGAGACGATCGAGGGGTCCCGTACCATGCGGAATCGACCCTATCCAGTGCTCAAGTGCTCAAGTGCCTCGCATGCCGCGCTATACCGCATGGGACGATATGGACATCACACACACTTCTGTGTGTGATGATCCAATGATGGACCTCTTTTTCCATGTTTGCATATGCACTTTGCATGTTTGCACGTGTTTGTGGTTTGGGGTCCTTTTGTGAGTCGTATCAGGTTATACGATGCACGGTCTTATATCGTGTCTCCTCGCAGTCGCCGGCGCGCTTTCGGGTGACACAGGTTGATCTTGGACGGCAAGAAATCGCTTCTTTCGGCGTTCAGTGATGAGAGAAGTCGTCCTTCCCCGACCCCGTCTGACCCCGTTCGTGCTCGTGCTCGTGCCATCGCGCCAGTCACGCATCAGCATCACGTAGACGACCGGCAACTAGACTAACAGAACCGTCAGGTCGGTGGTCACCGACACCGGTACCGCACCGGCAAGCGGCATGGCCGGGCCATGGCGTATGGGCCGGGGGTCCCGGTGCCGGCGAAGCGGCGTGCTGGACCTGCTGGAGGGGCGTATTGTGTGGGTCTTCCGGCGCGCGCGTTGCGCGTTGCGGGTTCGGGCGTTGTGCTTGTGGCCTTTTTTTCACTCACAGATTAGAGAGACACAAGTCACCTCACTTTCAAGCATCGGGTTCATTCACTAAAAATCACACATGCCACCAGAGGCTCTTCGCGCCACATCTCTCACGTCTCTGAATCTCTTGGCTAGGGCTCGCGACTACGGACACGCACTTTCACGCACACCAGTGGAGCCATACACGCCATGCAGATATGTAGATGGACATGCTTGGGGCAATGGGGCCATCGCGAGATGTCCTTCCGGCTGCGGCATGGGACACCGCCCGTCCACGCCCCTCCGGGATGCGGGAAGCCCCTCCTTGCCATGATCTCAATCGTCAGCGATCACGTCGTAGTGTGCTAGTGCGACCCATCGTCTGTCGGTGGCGCATCACGAAGCGCCCCCCCCATTACGCATTAGAGGCTCCGCCTTTGGAGTCATGACGCCGTCAGCGGTAGGGTGCCCACAGGACCCAAAAGAAAATAGCTTTGCGACTCAAAAAGGGACGCACGAGGCAAATCTGATGTTGGCCAGTTCCAATAGGAGGCCTCTTCCGTTGGGGGACCGAGTTCATAGGAAACGAGGGTTTCCCATTGTGACCCGCTCCAGCGCGAGCGTGACACTGCACTTGGCGCCGAGCGCCCGCGGCACAGACCTTGTGCAGGCCTCCCCTCATTGAGTGCACCGGTCCGGACCGATGGCGCTCGGTGTGGAGCAGAGCGGGTCCTCCTCCCAATCCCGGCGCCCACCCTCCGCGTCGTCCTGCTCATCGTGCGCGTCGAGCACCCTGCCGAGGCACAGGATCGTCCCCTTGGGGACGCCTGCCCCTCGCACGCGTGGGAACTCTCCCTGCGGGTCGGGTGACGTGAAACGCCTCGCACAACGCACAATGCACAAGGTTTCAGAAACGCGCCATTCCCTGCTCTGGAGTTGAGCGTTACGCCTGCCGCGCGCGCTCCTTCCGTCGATTCCGTTGGCATCGCCTCCAGCTCTCACTGTGTGGGCGTGAGGCGCCCGTGTCCACCGGGGACGTGGGCGCGCCTCCAATCATGTCCCGCGCGCCTCGCAGCACAAGCACCCCGCCCGCCCGAGACAGCTAGCCCGCTCCTCAGCCCGCCAGCACCCCCACTGCTGATCACGTTGTCAGCGCCTCGTTTTCGCGCTGCCGCAGGCCCTCCTCAAGACGTGCTGCGAACGTTTAAATCACACGGGGCGCTTGTGTGGCGCAGGACTCAAATGGTGGCGCGCAGGGTGAGGCCAACTGTCCCAGAGCCAGCTGCGATTCCAATATCAAAGCGCAAAGAATTGTATGTCCTCGCCATCTTTCTATGGTCACTTTTCCTCAGTGGCACTTTCTTTGCTATCGGTTGGGTCGGCAACTCGATCAATCAAAACGCTGCAGCAATGTCCCCACAATCCCCTCCTCCAGCATCCCCCCCAACAGCCCCACCGGCACTCTTGCCACTTGCTGTGTCAAACGAGAAAGAATGGCTCATCGCTACGAGTGGGATCTGCTACGACCTGACCTTGGCGTTTGCAGGCGGTGATGTCGGGCCAGAAGCACCAGGCGATACCGCGGCCGGGTTCATAGCGGGCATTGCATTCAAATACCAACCACAAACGGCTGTACGCTTCACAGACTACCCCTACCACGAGGCCAATGTTATCAACGGCTCTTCGGAGACGACAGCACTCACCTCTGCGATGTGGAGCTTTAAGAACATTGCACTTCTCGAGTCGAATTGCTCGGATGTGGTGGGGCATTCCTGTAGTTTTGGCACGATTATCTTCAAGGTGGAGACCCACGGCGTCTGCACGACTAGCGGCTCACCATGTGTGGAATACACTGGCAACGTCTCAGTAGCCACGAACTCCGTCGAAGGGCTGCCTTTGGCCTTGCGAAGCTTTGCTTGCCAACTGTTTGTAGATGGCGCGAGTATGTCCCCTGCACCCCCAACGCCGCCAGTCCCACCCTTTGTGTTGTGGCGCGCGAATGCAATGTGCGGCGGACGATCGATTACCTACAAAGATGAAAGTACAGCAACAACCGAAGGCGCATGCGCACAGGCATGCCAAAAGGCAGAGCAGTGCACTTTTTTCCAGGTCTACAGGAAGCCCGGAGCATGCAGCAACTTTTGTCAGCTCATAATTCAGGGCGGTGAGTGCAGCGACGAAAACCTGTTTGCCAATGACGGGGTGAAGGTATATATCTTTTTCGGCCTCGGTCTTGGCGATTCCTGCTCTGAAGACAACGACTGTCAGGGCAGCATGCAGTGCAGGGCTAGTATGGACCCTGCAGCGTCTTCTGAGGACAAGCGATGTGTTATCGCGCTCGAGTGCCCTGGGGATCATTTCGTACAGTTCCATCTTTCCCCAATTTTTGCAGCAACGGAAGATGACAACGATGGCACAATCTCCCCCTACATTGATCAGCAGCAGTGTCCAGCTAGCCATGGCCGCCAGCTGTCTGGGCTGCCTGCATGGTCATTGCGGGGGCTAGGTGGCTGGTTGCGGCCCGGCTTGAATCTGTTTGCGGGCAGCCCTCGGCGACAGGTATTGCCATCTAACTTTGTGGGCTTCTTTAGATATAAAGCCCCGGCAGGCTCATATGCGCCAGGCGCAGCCGTTGCCGTCGGCGCCGGCGGCGCTGTCTGGGCTGGAATGCAAGCCGATATTCTCGGCAATTTGGCAGGACTGGCACAAAACTTCATGGTGGGGATTTTGAATTTTGTGTGGGGCTTCAGCAAGGGTCCAATCAGCCGAGTCGTCTGGACTAGGGTAAGACCCGTCGTTCTTCCTTCGATGCAAGCTGTCGCGACAACCTCTTCAGTTGCGGGCCTTTTTTTAGTTGCAAGTGTCGTTGCACCGGCAACTAGCATTTGGAGGCGGTTGAGATTCGCAGGAATGGGGGGCGTCATGTTCATGGTTCCGATGTGCACTGAAGTAGCGAAATGGGCCGATGGGAAAGTCGCAGCAATAGGAAGACGACTGCAAGCCGAACCGCCTACATGCCCTGCAGTACAAGCTGCAAGCTGCTCCATAGACACATGCCCGGCAGAACAAGAAGACGCTACCTGTGATTCTGACTACCATTTGAGCGGCCCGGTGACATGCCCCTGGGACGCTGCTTTATCATTTGCGTTGGACACAACTATGAGATGTTCCAATTTGGTCTTCCCGAATCATTGGGTTAGACCCATAGACACGAGTGGTGGGCACAATGTGTGCCTCGACTCAGAAAATAGGTGTCTCACCGTCAAAGATGGCAAATGCGACTGGCAGGCAGACGACTGTGTAAGCAATACACAGTGCATCAACAAGTATTCGCCTGCAAGCCCCCGCTACGACACGTGCGGCGATGCAACCCCATGCAGGTACGCGTACATGAGGGTGAATCAGCGGTCTTCTGATACCTGCCCACCTGGTCTTACGATTTGGACCAGTAACGAATGTTCTCTTGCGGCAAAGCAGCTCGGTGCGACTAACACTAGCCCGGCCGTGACGAACGGTATGTGCTTCCCAAATGGTAAGGGTAACGAGCCTGCAATATGCGCAAAACAGCCCCTATGGAAAAAGCTGGGTAACAACGAGACATGCCCGACAGGGATGGAGATCTTCACTGTTGCGGCATGCAACAAAGCGATCGAGGACCTTAATCTCATTCCCGAACTTGATCCATCAAAACAGGCAGTTGCTGGCTTTAAAGGGATCGGCTGGTATGCCAGCGACAAAACAGTGCCAACCAAATGCTCTGTGCGAGATTTTGGCCCAGACCAAATGGGCCATTTCAATACGGCCGTCACTGGAAAGGCCCGGGATGATCTTGCGCCCGTCTGTTCTGGTCGATTCGTGAAGAAGGGCTACGGGGAATTATGCGACCCCGAGGACCAAATCGATGATTTGATGGTGTGCCTCAGTGCTCTCATAAATTCCGGATTGCCGTACGACAGTTCATCCGGGAGCCCTATGTGGGTGGCCGAATCGCCATCTCTTCCGTCAGGCTGCTCGGTGCGAGGCTGGGACAAACAGGACCCGCTTGGCCACTTCAATAAAAGTCCCATTGGGCAAGGTCACCCAGATCTGGCACCAATTTGCTTGGCAAAGTCATCTATCTTTTGCAATTCTCTTTGCAAGCAGACGTTTCCATGAATTCTCACTTGGCTCTGACGCCGGTGAGGTGCGGCGGGTGCGAGTTCCGGCGCGTGTGTCCTCGCGACAGGCCATGGTGCGGGGAGGGGATGATTAGAGTGAAGCGGCACGGCAGCAAATGTCCGTGATATGGTCCGTGGGCACTTGGAGCACTTGGAGTGCAGTTAGCAGCCGCACATCCAGAGGCACATTAAATTAAACAGGTAAAAAAGCGGCTCCGCCTCCGGGTCCGGGGCCGCGTCCGGCCTGCGCAGCGGCTGGGCCCTGGCGCCTGGGTAGCCACCCCTGTCGACACAGGTCCTGGTGCTTCTGCGCAAAAATACAATACAAATGCAACCATGGCGACCCACGCATCGATCATCGGGCGTGCTTAGACCGTGATATATAGGTCCCGAGCAGACTTTAAACCAAGTGGCCCCTCTGTGGTATACACGGGTGGCGGTAAGGGTAAGGCGGAGACCGGAGAAGACTCAGGTCACCGCTCACGGCCATGACGCGCAGCGTGACCATACTGCATACACAGAGGCTGTACTGTACACCCACGGGAGTCTCGGAGAGTCGCACGAACAAGCCAGGTCAGATGCGTACCACGCCTGCCTTGGACGCGCTAATACACACAAAAGTTGCGGCCAGTCGGAGTTAGTGGGATGAGGCGCGCGGCGCGGGCGCGTCGGTCGGCGGAAGCATCAGAGTCGCCGCAGGGTCGTCGCACGGGCTGGAGGCGGGGCCGTCGAATCGGCCAAGAGACATCAGTCGCGGCCACGCCTTCGCGAGCAGAGCCTTGTGCGCGGCCGGGTCGGAGGCGAAGTCGAGGGCCGCCTCGCGCAGCTCCGCGTCGTCGTGGACCACGCGCAGATCGGCGGGCATCTCTGCCACCTGGCGAGGGAGGAGTGGGCGGTGAAGGGGGGGGGGGGGGCGGGCGAGGGAAAAACGGGCGGTGACGGGGGGTGCGTGACGGGGGCCACCAGGCCGCGCGCACCTCGGTGGGCGTAGCGAGGGCCACCCACCGGAAGAAATCGGCCGGCGGCCGGCGCGTCGCCGCCACCGCGCGGCTTGCTGCCGCCCACACAGCGAGCACCTCCCTGGCGGTGAGGCCCGTCGGGTGCTCCTTGAAGTAGGCGGCCGACGACGGCGCCGACAGCGGCTGAAGCCAGCGCGAGCCCGCGCCGTCGGTTGCGTCGGTGCGGCCGCCGCAAAACGGCATCGGACCCGAGTGAGGCGCGACGGCGGCGTGTCCCGCGAGGGTGATGAGATCGGCCCACGAGAGGCGCGCACCGAACGCCTTCTTGACGCCGCGAAGCTTGCCAATCGCCTCCAGTGCGCCAGCGTTCGCAGGAAAGTCGACCTCGGGGGAGAAGCGGATGCGAGCGCCGTCGCAGCCGCCCTGGTTGTCTGTGTACCGATACGAGGCCGCGCAACCGTACGCGAGCGCGGCCGCGTCGGCAGCCGGCAGGAGCGGGTCCGCGCCTTTGTGCAATGCTGCCCAGACCTCCGCATAATCGACCGGCTCCGGCGGCGGCTTGGGCAGCGGGAACTGGAAAGGCTGCGGGGGTGGCACCCATGGCCCGACACAGCGCGCGTGCGGCCCCATGTCCCGCGTCACCAGCTTGTACCAGGCCGCCGCAAAGGCGCTGTCGAGAGCCGCGGGGCTCGAGGCGAACGCCTAGTCTCGAGCGATCTCTCGGGTGTGCAGCGTACCCATTAGTGTGTGATCTCGGACCCTCGGGCTCGCGGCGAGACGCCTCGGCGGCGGCGCGGAAGGACGGGTCATACGCCAGGGCCAAATCCGACGTCATCATCACCACGCGCTGGGTCGGCGCGCTGGTCTGCTCCGGGAAGGCGGACGGGGCAAGCAGCGGCTCCTCTCCTGCCGCGAGCCTGCCGAGATGGCACAACCGCGTGGAGGTGAGCCGAGAGGAGCCGAGGGCCAGGCGAGCGGGGAGGGTCCTCGCCAGGCGGCGCGCTCCTCCACTGCCACGCGCCTCCCGGCCCGCGGTGCTTCTCCCACCCAGCACGCAGCACGTTGTGGAAGTACTCGTTGTCCCACCGCGTTGGCCGCGTGGTCCACGGGCCCTCGATGCCCGAGGTGAAGGCGTCGGCGGCGCGGCCAGAGCCGCAGAGGCCCGGCCACGGGTTGGCCGGGTCGTCGCGCGGGAGAGCGCCCGCGCCGGCAGGGCACGCTCCGTGCGTCTTGCCAAACGCGTGCCCGCCGCCGATGAGCGCAACCGTCTCTGTGTCGTTCATGGCCATGCCCGCAAAGGTCCATCGCACGTCGGCCGCCGACCGGACCGGGTCCGGCACCTGGAGGCGGGATTCGAGGCGGTGTCGGGCGGGATTTGAGGCGGTGTCGGAGGAGCAGCGAGTCGGGAGGGGCAGCGAGTGCGAAGGGGCAGCGTGTCCATGACGGCTCCAAGGTGACACAGCTAGCATGGCAAGAGCTAGCATGGCAAGAGCTCACCCCCATGTGGCCCTCCGGGTCGACGTAGATCAGGCTCTTAGTTTCGCCCACGGCAACCGCGCCGAGCGGCGGCGTGCAGTTGCCGTTGACGGGGCACGGGTGGAAGGCTCGCTGCTCGGGCGAAGGGCCGAGCGCGAGGGAGTCGGAGCCGTCCTGGTCATCGATCCTGCCGCCGCAAAAGCCGAGGACGGGCCCGCCCATCGCCTCGATCGCGACGGTGCCAGAGAGGATGAACAAGTCGCCCCAGGACAGCGCGGGGCCGTGCTTGAGCTTGAGCGGGGCGAGCAGGTTCCTCGCCTTATCCAAATTGGTGTTGTCCTGCCAAGAGCGCTCAGGGTCGAAGCGCTGCCGGCCGCCCTCGGCGCCGCCGCGCCCATCGGCGACGCGGTAGCTGCCACTATTGTGCCAAGCGAGGCGCACAAAAAAGGGAGCGTAGGTGCCGTAGTCCGCCGGCCAGACGGACTGAGAGCGCGAGAAGAGGTCGAGCAGGTCGCTCTTGACGGCGTGCCAGTCCACACTCGCCGCGTCCGCCGGCGGACGAGAGCGCAGCGGTGGGTGGTTGAGCGGGAGAGGCGTGCCGTCGAGGGAGGCGATACAAAAGCGAGGCGGCGACGGGCGAGAGTAGAGGGAGCATGAATGGGGGTGGTCGTTCAGTGTTCCGAGTGCCTTCGCGGCGCGCGCGATTTCTCGGGAAGGCCTCTCAAGCTTCTCGCGTCCACCCCCAGTCCGCTGTGTTCTTCACCTTCCTAACTAACTAACAATAATAACAAAGCTTGTGCGTCTTGGGTCCGGGTTGTCCTTATACGCCTTCGCAGTCTCTCGCCGATTCTCGCTGCGACCTTCATGCCACCTCGCGGTCGCCCCCTTCTCGTCGTTCTTTCCCTTGTCGCTTCTTCCACACTGAAGAGGACCTTCGGTCCGATACGGGGAAAAATTCTTTGACCACCCAAGACAGCTTGGAGAGCTCCCGGTCCCGCAACATTTCGTAACGATCGTCGCTATTGGCCATCTGCCTCCTGCAGCCTCTGTTGGGGCGGAATGCGCGGGGTTTTCGGCGCGATGCCTCCGGCTAGTACACGGTACTGCTCTGCCGCAAACTCTCCTGCGCTCGCGTGACGTGTGGGGCGCACGCACTGCGCTCGAAAGTCGCGATTTGGCAATAGGCGCTCGAGCCGGCGCGCAGTGGAGGGGGCGCCGCGCAGGGGGATCGGGGGGGTGCGAGAGGGGGCGTGGGTCGGGCGCGCACCGGCCGGCTCCGGGAGCGGCCGTCACGTCGAAGAGGGGACCTGGTGCTGCTCGAATGACGACGCATGCCGCTCTGCTGCGCTGCCGACAGCCCCTCTTCCGAGCCGGCGCGTGGCGGCGAGCCGCGGCCAGTATCGCTGGTGCGGTGGAGGCGGCAGCTTGCATCGGCCGGCAGCGGGTGCGGCCATCACGTCGATGAGGGGGGGTTGTCGGCGACTCGTGTGGCTCGAGGCCTACGCTGCGCCGCCCAAGCCCTACTGCCGATCCAGCGCCTGGCGTTTGGGGCGAGCCGCGGTCGTCGTCGCTGATGGTATATGGCGGCGGCGGCGGCGGCTCGCCCTTCCCTCCGGCCGCAATTCCGATCCCGCCGCGCTCGCGGGAGGTGGCGCGCCCACCGCGGCACGGCCGTGGCTGCGCATACACCTTACGCCCTTTCTCCTCAACGGCTATCCGTGCTTGCTGTGCCCCTGCGTGGTGTGTTTCAAGTTCTTACAACCCAAGGTGATAGAGGGCAAAAAGATCGATTGCGCTCTTGCCGATCCGCACCTACCTAGGCTCTTGGGTGGCGCGCCCCAGCTCTTCACAGCGAACCTGGTTCGAGGATCAGCGGAGTCGAGACGAAGGGACGCATGCAGGACCCTTACGCTAGTGCGGACGCCGCCTCGCAGAGCAGCGTCGAGTTCGGGAAGCTGGGCCCAGCGTTTGGCTCCGCCTGGACCACGCCGGCGCCTGGCGCCGCGCCGCTGCAACAGCCGGACTTCCTGTTTGAGGAGACGGCGGATGCCATGTACCGCCGGTCGTGGGGCGACCGCCTGACCTACCACATCGGTGTTGGCTACCTCGTCGGTGCGGCCCACCCATCCCACGCGAGCGGCTGCGCCCTCTGTCGCCTCGCCCTCTCGCAGTGCACTCGCCGCCGCCGCCGCCCCGCCTCGCCCGCTCAGCGCACCGCGCCGCCGCGTCAGGGCTGGTGGCGGGCGGCAGCTGGGGCCTGTACGAGGGCCTCAAATCGTCTACGGGTGAGCGGCAGCGGATCCGGATCAATGCGGTGCTTAACGCGACGGGCAAGCACGGGCCGGGGCTGGGCAACTCGGTCGGCTGCCTCGGCATGATGTTCTCCACCTTCGAGACCCTCGCCTTCAACTTTCGCGGCGAGGACGACATGCTCAACGTGATGGGCGCGGGCGCTCTGGCCGGAGGCATCTTCAAGTCGCAGGCGCGGCGGGGCCCGGGGGTGTGGGAGATGCACACCCACGATGTAGCCAGCCAGGAGGGAAGTGTGTGTGGGGGGGGGGGGGGGGGGGAGCCGCCGGCGCTCCCTCTTGACGGCCGAGCGGCTCCCAAACCTCCAGGCGGGACTGCGCACCGCGGGGACGGCGGCGCTGGGCATGTCTGCCGTCATGACGGCGCTCACCGTCGTGATGAACGCGACGCGGTGAGAGGGACGGGCCCCCTCTAGCGGCTCCGGCTCGGCCAGCTCTCGCGACTCGTTGGCGCGCAGGCAGCGGCGTGGCGAAGGGGCGAGCGCGCGGCGCAGCGGCGCCGCGGCTGCCGGCGAAGCGGCGGCCCCGGCGCTTGCCTCGATTGGTTTCTCTAACATATATATCGATATTCCGCGGTCCGCGTGATATGTTGTGCAGCTTGTGCAGGGATCTTTCGGTTGAGAGGCGCTAGGTGGGTTCGGCGACTAGCGCCGGGGTCGGCACATGTAGCTGTCCTTTGTTACCCAAAAAAAGCTCTATCCGCCTGCGGTTCTCTTTGTCTACTCTCCATCTCTCAGATGACGGACTACTCATGCGTCCACGGAGCACGGTTGCAGCTTGCACTTGCAGCATCATGCACAACGTGCTGAATTGCCCCGGGGGGCGCCGGGCCCCTAGCGGGCCCCCCTGACAAATGCCTTGCAGGCGGAGGGCGCGAACATGCTCTGCATGTAGTGCATAATCTGCATCTCGGCTGCGGGCAGCTGCGACGGCTGCAGGATGGCGCCCTGCTGCCCTGCCTGTATCACCATTGCCTGACCCGCGGGGGCGGCGCATCCGACGATGTCAATCGAGCCAATGACGACGCCCGTGGTGACGGGCAGTTGCCCTGGCGGCGCCGCTGGCCATACGGCCGCCCTCAGCGCCACCGGCCTGCAGATGCTGCCTGAGGCCAGCGCTGGGGAAAGCTCCGGCACGGGTACCGGAGCAAGAGGTGTAGGCGCCGTGGAGTCCGACTCGCGTGCCGCGCGTGGCGTCTCTGCGTGAAGCACATACGAAGCCCGCCTGGCAGGGGCGACGCGGCAGACGCTCGCGACATCGCGGGTGTTGATCGAAGCGGCGGAGGCAGCGCCCGCGGGTCTGAGACAGCTCGGTGAGCACGTCGCAACGAACAGCCCTTTTGTGCGAGTTGCCGTCTGCGAACTGCTCCGCGCGACGAACAGCCCTTCGACAAGGGGATTGGAGGAGGGAGGGAGGAGAGAGCAGGTCCTAGAGGTACGAGTGAGGCGAGGCGGAGGCGGCGTACGGGAGCGACGCTGGCGCGAGTCGCGGTGTGCTTTGGAGAGCGAGCACCACCCGGGCAGGCTGCGGGGAGTGGGTGTTCGCTGCGCTCACCCTTTCTGCACGGCATGCCTGTGAGGAGGCATCCCCAGCACTCGGTGCTGGCGTAACGCATCCCCAGCTGCTGAGGCGTGGTACCCCAGTTGCTGGGCCCTGCCATCCCAGGGTCGGACGATGGGTCCGACTCCTCCTGCAGCACCACTGCAGGGCCAAGGACCGTACTGCCGGTGTCGGGCCGCGGGCAGAGCGGGTTCAGACGGAAACCCAAAGCGCGGAGCTAACCTTCCTGCGACCGCGCACCCCCTGTTCTTCACCTTCCTACATACATACATACCCCCCAGGGCTAGGGCTCGCTCGCCCGTAACCCGATCCCAATCGTCCGGCCCTGGGTGCGCTTCTCAAGTTTCCCTGATGAATGAGTCTTCTGTGTTCTGAGAGCTGGTTGGTCTGGGTGGGGCAAAATCTGAGGCGAAACCGAGTTTTCCAGGTATACCCGCAAAATACCCCGGTATTTTGCCGATTTGGCTGATTTGGGGCCCAAACCACGGTCTCGGGATCCGTACCCATACTACTCAAAAGTACAATATACTACCACAAAGCACCACTAGCGATTTCGCGCGGAGGGCGTAGTGAAGCGCTGGGGCGCTCACTGTGTGTTATTCTGGTGTTATTCGGGTGGGGATCCATCAGTGGTAACCGGCTTTAGTCACAGATCCAAGCTCAGACGCCACACCAACACCACAAACACGCTCACTTCGCCGCTGCTGTAGAGGGCCCCCGGGGGCCCATACTACGTCGAAGTACGGACCCGATCTCGGCACTCACGGGCTGCCACGCGCCCGCGCGCGGCGCGGGCCGCACCACCCATGCCCCCGGGTCACCGACCCCGCCTCTCGGCCCTCTCGGCCCTCAGGAGCGTGCGGGAGACCGGCGAGGGGCGCGCTGCGCGCCGCCTGCAGAGCCGCCAGAGGCATTGTCGCTTCCGCTGGCGGGGTTCCCGCGCGCCCGCCCGCGCCCGCGCCCGCCCACGCCGCGCCCGCGGGCTCCGGATGCGCCGCCCTCCTTCTCCTTCTTCTCGATGGCAGTCCGCGTGTGCTTGTCGACGGGTCGGCGGCGTGGTCGAGGGGAAGGTCGCCGGCGGCCGCAACTCCGCCGCCGTCGCTCCGCCGGCTCTGATCGAGTATCGGGCGTTGAGGGCGGCGGCGCAAAGCGGGTCTTGCGCATCCATCGCCACGAGCCTCGCGTCGGCGGTCGTGGCACACCTGGCGGCGGCTCTCGGGGCCGTCTCTACGGCGCTCGACGCCGTGTGAGGTCGCCGGCGGCCGCAACTCCGTGTCTCCGCCGCCGTCGCTCCGCCGGCTCTGACCGAGTATCGGGCGTTGAGGGCGGCGGCACAAAGCGGGTCTGGCGCATCCATCGCCACGAGCCTCGCGGCCGCGGTCGTGGGCCTCGTGGCGCACCTGGTGGCGGCTCTCGGGGCCGTCTCTACGGCGCTCGACACCGTGTGAGGTCGCCGGCGGCCGCACCTCCGCCGCCGTCGCTCCGCCGGCTCTAACCGAGCACTCTGGTCCCTGGACTATGTGGGCCCAAGAAGTTCTCACCCGGGGGCATGTGGGTGATTACACCGACCCAAATTCCACTTACGGAACAATACGGCCTGATTGGGCGCGCTACACGGCAGCAAGAGCAGGTTGGTCACGCGCGCAGCACGTCGCTAACTTTGGGCGCGTCGTGCAGACGTTCAGACAGGCGGTGGCACGGATCGTACGGCGGGCCAAGTGGCGCCGCATCATCAGGGCCCTAAGACTGCGCGCAAGAATTGGAGAAATACCAGCATTTGGCGGCGACCCAGGCGGGCCATTAGGCACGCATCGCTGGGAGGGGGCTCATATGTGGCCCACTGTGGTCTGTGCCACACCCAAGTAACGCGACTCCACAGCAACAAGCGTCATTCGTTCAGCGCTTCCTCGGAGGACGGGGACGGGTTGGTAGCGCGAATGGGCTTCGTGGGACTGGTACTCGGGGGTATTCTTAAAAAGAATTCTGATGCGGAGATAGGATGCCCCGAACCAGCCGTAATCAAAACCCAGCCATTGTCATAATCCAGCAGTTCGCTCGGAGGTTAGTAGCCATGTACCGAGCCGCTGCTTTGCGGCTCAGACGTCAGAGGCTTGACCAACCCCCACGAGTCGCAAGAAATGTCAGACAGAGATTTGAGCGTCGCGCAGAGCGCGATGAGTTTCATGGGCCGAACTTGGCTGGCTCTTTCAACAGGTTCCCTGGTAGAGGTGACCTTTATTGGCGCAATGACAACATGGTTAATAGAGGTTTTGGGCCAAGTCGGGAAGGGGAGTGGAATTATGTGCAATTCAGGCCGAATGGGCGAGGACTCCGCCAAGAGGGCGGTTTTCTAAGGGCAAGTATCGACCCTGAAGCCGGGTATGAAGAAGACCAAGTCCGTTTCGGCAATCCACTCGTGTACAGTAATAATGGGTAACCGTACGCGGGGGTGGGACTAAGACTTAGCTGCCAGCCACCGAAGCAGCAGCTCGTGCTCAAACGCCTCCTTCTGCGCGCGCCATTTCTCAGTCGCACGGTACTTCTCTCTGCACGCTTTGCGACACGCATCACACTGATTACGGTAGCTGAGGAAGTTCTCCCCAGGTTGGGTCTTGCCGCACTTAGTGACGTCTTAACTGCAGTGCCGTCCATTTCCTATACACATCAGACCCCCTTGAGATTTGATTGAGAACTTGTTGAGCTCGCGAGCTATCACGTGTGTTTCGTCGATCGGCCATCCCTTAAGTAATCTCAATGAGAATGGGGTGTGAATCTCAGGTCCACAGCAATTATGCGCGCCTTTTTTTCACGACGTGAATTTTTAAATCTCAGACTGCAATTGGGACCTGCCTCTTAACATCCGACCTGCCCACTCTGCTTGTTTGTGGTCCTGCCCTGCCGCATACTGCCGCACAACTGCCCTGCCCTGCCCTGCCCGATCCCCTACCTGCCCCGGGTGTGAAACCCACACTGCCCTGCCCTGCCCTGCCCACACTGCCGAGGTGTGAATACCTGCCCGAGGTCTCGGAGTACGGAGAAACTTCTCCCATACGTATATGGGGCGTATGGGAGAGACGGCGGTTTTGTTGTTTTCTTTCCGCTAATGAAAGAAAGAAAGAAAACGGAGAACCCAAGGGAGGGATGGGAGGACGGCACGACGAGGGCGCGGACGGCGCGGACTGGCACACACTCGGCCTCACAAAACGAGGCAGCACGCGTTCGTCCGGCCGAGGCTAGCCTTGAGCATGCTCACGCGCTGCACCGCCCGCGGCCTCCCCTCCGCCCGCAGCCTCTCAGCGGTCGCAGAGAGACGAAGAGCAGCTGAGTTCCTCCAGCTGTTTGACGGCGACGCGCCGGACGGCGGCGGCTCCTCCACATATACCTACATCCTCGCGGACGGCGGTGCTGCCGTCATCATCGACCCTGTGCTGGAGCAGGTGGACCGCGATTTGGCTGCGCTGTCGGCGAGTGGGCTCACGCTGACGCTCGCCGTCAACACGCATTGCCACGCGGACCACATCACGGGCACCGGCGAGCTCAAGCGACGGCTGCCCGGCCTGCGCTCAGCCATCGCCAGGGCGGCCGGTGCAAAGGCAGACGTGCTGCTGGAGGCGGGCGAGGAGATTGGCTTTGGCCAGCGGCGCCTGCGCGTGCTCGAGACGCCGGGGCACACCGACGGCTTCGTTTTCCTCTCTGCGGCCCGTCCCTTCACGCCTTGCTTGTTGAGGCGGTGCTCTCTGTTAGGCTGCCTCTCCTTCTATGACCCGTCTCTCGGCGCGGTCTCTTCACGGGCTGTCTTCACCTTGTGCCAAGTCTTGCTTCACGGGTCCCTCATGGTGAATAGGAGCGGTCTTCACGGGCGACGCGCTGCTGATCGGTGGCTGCGGCCGCACTGACTTTCAGGACAACAATCACGCACACGCACGCACGCACACGCGCACACACACAACACACCCACGGGGCACTTGAGATGCCCCTCCGTGACCTGGCCCTGACCTTTGCCAGGGTGGCTCGTCTGAGCGGCTCTACCGGTCGGTGCACGAGCAGCTCTTCACACTGCCCGACGAGACGACCGTCTACCCGGCTCACGGCTCTAGACGGGGAACCCTGTTCTCGTACTCCGAATGGTACTCGAGAGGACACGTATTCGGCCGCTATCCGCCGCTCTATTCGTCGCCCCTTGTCTCCACGCAGTGCTCCGGCGAAGCTGTGTTTATTCCCACTGCAGGCACACGACTACAAGGGGAGGCGGAGCTCCACCATCGGCGCCGAGAAGGCCGCCGCGAGTAGAGGAGAGGTTACGGGTACTGCCAGGCTGTCTTTCGACCACTAACCTCACGGTCGGCTGGTCACGCGGCGACCTCTCCTCGCCCTCCAGTGAGCCTCACTCATCGTTTGCGCAGGCCTCCAACCCGCGACTCACCAAGCCGCTGGCCGAGTTTGTGGACCTCATGGCCAACCTCAACCTGCCCTACCCGAGGAAGATCGACGCCTCGCTCCCCGCGAACCTCGCGTGCGGCGTCTTCTGAACCGCGTCGCCATCGGCCGGCACGCGGGGGCCGTCGCGACTCAGTCGGCAGGGGTGCGTCTCTTCGATCACATTCGATGTGTGTCAGCATTAGAAGCGTTGGTGTTGGGTATCAATATCATACCCACCACTCTCGTCGAGTAACAAGTGGCACGTCCATCCCCTTTTTATGTCGATTTTTCCTGTTCGTTCTCTCAACCCCGCGTTTTCATTTGATCTGCCCCGTGCCCGACGGTGCCCCTCCGCCGCCTGCGAGCGCTCGTCGCACCTCCTCGCTCGCCCCGAGCACGCGTAGCCCGTCCGCCGACCGCTGCCACGACGAGTACGCGAACACGGACACGGACACGGTCGGCGGGGTGACCTCGCCGCTCGGCTGCAGCCCGCACCGCGCCTGCCGGGCGAGCAGCAGCAGCACTGAGCCGGGCTCGAGACGGCACGAGGTCGGCTCGCCGTCTCGGCCGACGAGGGCGAGCGCGGGCGCCCCCTCCGCAAAGAGCGAGCAGCAGATCTCGACCTGCGCACAGGTGCGCCGCTGTGAAGAGGCGCCGTCCAGCACAGAGAGGAGCGCCGAGCGGGTGCGTCCAGTGTCGTGGGAGTGACAATGGGCGTGTGTGCGGGCGTGTCGTGGACGCGTGCAGGCGTGCGGAGGGCGGCGGCGGCGCGGGCAGGATGGCGGCGGAGGTGTCGTGAGTGGTGACATCGGCGGTGAGGCAGGAAATGTCTCGGAAGTGTCGCACCCCGGTGTCGGGCCAGCCGGTGTTTGGCGCCGACGGCGCCTCCGCCTCGCACGGCGCCGCCTCCTCGAGAAGCGCGCGCCGCGGCAGGGCGAGGCGCAAGCCCGCCGCCTACACGCCATGCCAAGGACATGTCCGAGACGTGTGCTGCACTAGCGGCAGGGCGGAGGCGCGGGCCCGGGGTAGGGGTAGTGGTAGAGGGGCGGGGGGTAGGGGCGGGGGGTAGGGGCGGGGGGTAGGGGCGGGGGTAGGGGTAGGGTCGCCTCCTCGATGGACGCGCAGAGGCCGCGCAGCAGTCGCATCGCGCCGGCCAGCGCCGAGCCTAAGGCAAGAGTAGACTCTCGAGTCGACCAGCCGGGCTACAAGACTCTCAAGACTCTCGAGTCGACCAGCCGGGCGGACTCCGGCATCTAGGACACCCGACCCGCCTCGAGTGCCGCGCTCGCGCCAAAGAGCTCCGCGGGGGGCGGGCGGGCGGGCGGCGGCGTGGGCGCGCCCGGCGGCGCCTCGGGCGACGCCAGCCACACCTACCCACCGTTGTGGTGGCTGTCTCGCCCACGTGCGTGCGTGCGTGCGTGCGTGCGTGCGTGCGTGCGTGCGTGCGTGCGTGCGTGCGTGCGTGCGTGCGTGCGTGCGTGCGTGCGTGCGTGCGTGCGTGCGTGCGTGCGTGCGTGCGTGCGTGCGTGCGTGCGTGCGTGCGTGCGTGCGTGCGTGCGTGCGTGCGTGCGTGCGTGCGTGCGTGCGTGCGTGCGTGCGTGCGTGCGTGCGTGCGTGCGTGCGTGCGTGCGTGTGTGTGTGTGTGTGTGTGTGTGTGTGTGTGTGTGTGTGTGCTGCCGCAACCCGTCGGTGTGAAGTGTGCCACACCGCGGCCGTGCGGCGGGAGAGGGGTCAGGGGTAGGGCTGGGGCTAGGTCAGTGCTAGAGCACACCGCGGCCGTGCGGCGGGAGAGAGTCGAATCCTGAGTGGCCGGGTCGGAGCGAGCGCCGCGCAGCACCGCCGCCGCCTCGGCGCTAACGCCCGCGAGCAGCGCGGGCGAGAGCGGCGGATGAAGGAGGAGATAGCCTGCGTTGTGCGTCCTCCCAGGTATGTCTGAGAGAGCCGGAGTGCGGGGCAGAGCGCCGCGTGAATGCATGGACTGCGGCTGACTATTGCTGAAGTGCAGCGGAGTGCGTGTGTGCTCCGGAGCGCTTCGGTAGTCGGAGTACACCGGTCTGCAGCCTCTCTAAGGGACTGGACCGCGCGCGAGCAGCTCCTGCGCCGCGCCGCCGCCCAGGCAGCGCGAGGCGGCGGAGCTCGCCTGTTGAGAATAGAACCTCGGGTCATCTCGGGCAATCTCAGGCAGCGCGAGGCGGCGGAGCTCGCCCAGTAGGCCGCCAAGTCGAAGCGGTGGTGCGGCGCCGGCAGCAAGCGGAGCGAGCGGCGCGCCTAAGGTCCCGGGGGGGGGGGGGGGTCGGGGTCGGCGTAGGGTCGGGGGCTAGTCGGCAGCCAGGCAGAGCGAGCGGCGCGCCGACCGCACGAGCACCGCCTGTCAGTCAATACGCAATGAATGAGCGAATTGAGTACTAGTTGATGGCCCACCGCACGGACACCGCCTCGAAGAGCCACGCGAAGCATCCCTCCTCCCCAAGCGCCTCTGGAGGCAGCAAGCCAAGCTCGCACAGCTCTCGCCTCGAGATCGGCCGTCTGCCCCCACCGCCATCGCCGCCGCCGCCGCCTCCGCCAACGCCGACTCCGCCACCGCCGCCATCGCCCCCGCCGCCCCCGCAGCCACCCTCTGCGCCTTCCCGCGCCGCCAGCGCCCTCGCCGCAACACGGCTCGCGCCAGTGGCCGCGTCGTCCACCGCACACAACGCCAGCCGCGCCTGGTTGGTTACGATTCCTCACTCATCCCTGAGCTCCTCATGCATTCACACTCGACCAGCGAGAGGCACGCGCCAGGGACGCCTCGTCGGCGAGAGGAGACGAGGCTCGCTCTCGGACCGCCGCGAGGACAGCGCCAACCTGCTCACGGCCGAGGTGTGAAGAGACGCCGTTCGCAGCTCTCGGCGGCGAAGACAGCGCCAACCTAGTCATGACTCACCAAATCTCACCCATCGTCAGCTAGGCCACCGAGGCGAGGACGCCGCCCGCCCTCTCCGCCGCTGCCGCCGGCACTGCCCCAGCCGGAGGAGCTGCACCCGCCCGGAGTGAGCTTCCCCTCCGCGCGACCTCCTCCTCCTCCGCCGCCGCCTCGCCGCCCGCCGCCGCCTCGCCGCCCGCCGCCTCGCCCGCCACCTCGCCCGCCGCCGAGTGCAGCGCGACGGGCAAGTGCGCCTCGCGGGCGGAGATTAGCCGAGGTGCAGCCGAGGTGCAGCCGAGGTGCAGCCGAGGTGCAGCCGAGGTGCAGCCGAGGTGCAGCCGAGGTGCAGCCGAGGTGCAGCCGAGGTGCAGCCGAGGTGCAGCCGAGGTGCAGCCGAGGTGCAGCCGAGGTGCAGCCGAGGTAGGAGGCGCCTTGCGGGCGGCGGCGACGGTGCGTCTTATCTGCGTCGCCCGCACGCACACGCCCGCGTCGACCTGCGGCCAGCAGTTCACAGCTGTTGGTGATTGAGGATCAGCCAAACTACCGACTGGTCCAGCAGACTCGCGCGTCGACCTGACGCGCCGTCTCCGCCCTGTCCGCGAGCATGACGTGCCTGCCGTACAGGCTGCGCGCCTCCGCCCGCCGCTCAGTCAGCGCGAGCGCGTTGGCACACCTGCTCATAGCTCTGCATGTCGGCTTTCTTGTTTTCACAGCCAGCGCAGCGCGGCAGCGCACTGGTCTATTCCGCCGGAGACGCCTCGGAAGCGGTGGTTCGGGGACGCGTAGCCCAAGGCCGCCCATCTCTTCCGCCAGAAGACTGCAAAGGAGCAGACGGCGAAGTGCAGCACCTGCTCGCGAAGTGCCGGTGTGAATGAGCTACTTGCTGAAGGAAAAGCTGTGGGCAGGGTAATGGTCGAGTACGAGGACTGGGGGGTCAACCGGGAGGCAGGGGGTCAACCAGGCGACGGCGGAACGTGGGCCATCGCGGGGACGGGTCCGTCCGGAGGGCGACCCCGATAGATCCGGATGGTCTTCACGCCGGGGCGAGGAGCTGTGGGCACTACTACTACTACTACTACTACTACTACTACTACTACTACTACTACTACTACTACTACTACTACTACTACTACTACTACTACTACTACTACTACTACTACTACTACTACTACTACTACTACTACTACTACTACTACTACTACTACTACTACTACTACTACTACAGGGGGCGAGGCGCGACACACCGCTGCGGAGCAAGAGGCATCGAGGGACGCCCTCTGGTGAGGGATGTAGGGCGAGTCCCGCAGGTTGCCTGTTCACAGCTCCAGGTGTGAAGAGGCGCTGTTCACAGTGCGAGGGGTGTAGCCCCGCGGAGTGCCGTTGTTTGTGTAGCCTCGCTCCGCCATGCCCTTTGGCAAGCTCCACTCATGCACCGAAGCGACGGCGCTCACGCGAGGGTCGACACGCACGATCGACTTGCCGTTGCTGTAGAAGCGGAAGAACTGTGTGCGGCGATCGTGCGGTCAGCGACGAGACACAGGTACAGGTGCGGCTAGTGTGAGAGGTGTGAGATCGTCGGCAGGGTGGGGCGGTGCAGGGCGGGGTACAATCTGATCGCCGCGCGGCATACGTGCAAGCAATGAGAGCGGGAAATGTCTCGGACGGTCTCCCTCGCCTGGCCGCCGCTGGCAGGCGCCTCCGTCCAGTAGGCGAGCGCGGCGGCGCAGCCTAACCCTCGGACAATTTCGTAACACCGATCGGTTGCGACTTGCCCGGTGGGCGAGGGTGGCGCCGTTGGCGGTGGCGTCGAGGCGCGACGGATGGTTCTTGAAGAGTGTGACGGCGGCGAAGGGGTCGAGCACCTGGTGTGCAATCAACCAATCAACCAGTTCTCAGTCAACTAATTAAGGAGTCGAGCACACCTGGAGTGGCGTTCGAATGACTGGATGAATGACTAGATGGGTAGATCAAAGGAGCGAGAGGAGCTACTGGGCTTGCTGGCCCTCCTCCTCCTCCGGCACCGCCACCAGGTCTCGGGCAATCTCGGGTAAACCTCGGGCACTCTCGGTCAATCTCGGCACCTCCTCCTCCTCGGGCACCGCCTCGAGGTTGCAGTACGTGAACTGAAGCGCGCCCAGCGCCGAGAGGCGGGCGAGATGGCGCTGCAGCTCCGCACGCGACGCATTTACGGCGGCGCGGCCCTCTAGAGCGCCGGCGAGCGGCAAGTGCAGCAGCTCGTCGCTGTCGAGGTGCCTACAATCTCGGAGCAATCTCGGGTGATCTCGCTTGATCTCCGCGGTGCAGCAGCTCGTTGCTGTCGAGGTGCAGCAGCCAGCCGACGGAGTCGCGCCGCGCCTGCGCCATCGCGTGCTCGCAGTTGAGCTGCTGCCGCGCCTGCACCTCCGTCTCGCTGTACACGCCCAGCCGGCCCCACGACGGTAGGTGCTCCCACTCGGCCCGCAGTCGCTCGCCACGCACGTGCAGCCGCAGCTTCTCGGACGGGTAGCGCGAGGCCAGGCCGACGACCGGATCGCTGGCGTCGTCCACGTAGATGTAAAGCCGGCAGAAGCCGAGCGCGAGGTAATAGCAGACGAACGAGTCGAACGAGTCGGCGTTGTCACACATCGTGCTGACGAGCGCGACCGTGTGCTCGCCCGGCGGTGGCGGCGGCGTCGTCGGTGGCGGCAGCGCAAGCGGCCCACGTCGCCTCCAGTCGCTCCGCTGCGCGACGGCGAGCGTGCTGCACGCCATTTGTGGACGTTGAGAGTAAAAACACGAATGATGTGGACGCGTTCTCGAGGGGCGCGCGATACGCACAGTTTTTTTTTCTTCGTGAGCAGTGAACGACTTTTTCACTCGCACTCCTAGAAGTCGACGGATTGTGAGCGACACCGCTCGCAATGTAGCATCTGACTGTCGAATACATTAAGTACAAGCGGCTCCGTCCGCTCACAAACAACGATCAACGACAACGTGACTGGTGTGGTGACCTACTACAACTACTCTCTCTCTCTCTCTCTCTCTCTCTCTCTCTCTCTCTCTCTCTCTCTCTCTCTCTCTCTCTCTCTCTCTCTCTCTCTCTCTCTCTCTCTCTCTCTCTCTCTCTCTCTCTCTCTCTCTCTCTCTCTCTCTCTCTCTCTCTCTATCTCTACCAGCGCGCTCACAATCCGAGCAAAATCTAGGATTGCGAGCAGCACTGCTAGCAATCCTAGCAACATGCCTCCAATTGCGAGCAGCAGCGTTGTGTAGGAGTCGCTCACAATCGTATCCCTGATGGATGGAGGATTGCTAGCAGTCGCACAGTCCACAGAGGGCGCTCCCAATCGCTCCAGAGATGAGCGATACCAGTCACAGTCCCTAACGACTTCTAGGATTGCAAGCGCGGGTCAAATCGAAAACCGAAAATAGGATTAGGGTCTGGGTACTCGAGTAAACGCAGCCGCCCCCACAAAAGGGCCTTCCCCCCTCATCTACTCGTCGCCGCGAATGGTTGGGCAGGTTACTCAGGACACGATCCCGGCGTGAACACGACGAACTACCCTTCTCCGATGCACGCGCGGCACGCGCCACGGCGCGGCAAGTGCCGCCGTCTTTGCTGTAAGTTCAAAGTCGAATCAGAGGTGTTTCGGCTTTGTTTTCTCCTCTGCTCCCTGGGACGCACGCGCCGGCGAAGCACCACGGCGAAGCACCATCAAGCTGCTGTACGGCCCCGGCATCGCCTCCCCTGGCTTAGCTAGACTGAGAGATGTTGTGCACATGGTCAGTCTCTCCAATACACTCACTGACACTTTACCACTCAGAGCTCGTCCCGGTCCGCCACGGCCATCCTCGGCCTCCGGAGGGCCCCCGGCCGCGGCGCGGTGCGGCGGCGTCACAAATCCGACGGCAGAGCACCGGGACGCGGTCGGGCGATCTGAGGTCCAGCTAGGCGTATGCATTGCTCATCCAGGGCTACCACCTGGACCTATCAACAGGCGCCTGCGGCGCCGTGGCCAGGAGATGTTATTCACACCTGTGCAACCGGGTGTCCAACAAGGCAGGCGCTGGCCCGACCCCAACAACAACAAAGCCAGGGTTCGGACTTTTTGCGGGGTATGGTATGGTAGTGTCGCGCAACCCACCTCGAGACCATACCCCAAGCCTGCTGACAGACCCAGCCTCCCGCCGACGGGACCATACCCCCCCCCCCCCCCCTCGCCCCACCGCCGGCCGCCTTACTGCTAGGCTCCAGGACGCAGGAGGCTGCAGACACCGACACGCACACTAGATACGCGCGGATGGCCGCCGTCTTCCACGCCAGCACCGGCCGGTGCTTGTCTAGAGCGCGGCGGCGAAGTTGTCAATCGCCTGGCGAGCGGCGGGCGCGGCACCCGCGCCGGTCGCCGCACCTGCACCAGCAGGCGCCGCGCCGGCCGTCCCCGCGCGAGTCGGACTGAGCCGCAGCCTACCACTCCGCCGCTCGAGCTCGTATTCACTCTCTGCTGGCGCTGCACCAAGGCATCGCTGCTCGCGCTGGTCACCGAGATGCGCGTAACCTCGCAAATAAGGATAGGGTGCCCACAGGACCCAAAAGAAAATAGCTTTCCGCCTCAAAAAGGGACGCACGAGGCAAATCTGATGTTGGATTGTTCCAATAGGAGCGAGGCCTCTTCCGTTGGGGGACCGAGTACATAGGAAACGAGGGTTTCCCATTGTGTCCCCTTCGCGTGCGAGCGTGACACTGCACTTGGCGCCGAGCGCCCGCGGCACAGACCTTGTGCGAGCCGACCCTCGGTGAGTGCACCGGTCCGGACCGATGGCGCTCGGTGTGGAGCAAGCAAGACCCCCCCCCCACATCGGCGCGCGCCCGAGGTTTGAACGGCCGCCAGGAGCACCAAGAGGACTCCTCATGGCTGCACTCAAGTGGGCTTCGACCGGCCTCGGCTGGGGGGGCGGGTTTTCCCGGTTGCGGACGCCTTCTGCGCCCCCTGGGATGGGGACAGCACCCCAAAACTGCCCCTCGGCGGCATACAGCACTGCCAGGCGGCCTCTTCCTCCTCCTCAAGGGCTGTACTATAGGCCATATTGCGCCGCCTCCTACTGGCAGCCGGGCGGGCGCGCGCCGCGGGCGCCTCGGCGCGCGCACGGCTCGCAAAGTTCGAACGAGTACTGCCGCCCGGCCGCCTCAAGGCTGCCGGACGGCAGTACTCGCCTCGCAAGGCGCGCACCGGCTGCTCTGGCTGCTGCGCCGGCGGCCGCTGCGCTGGCCGCTGCTGCGCCGGCTGGCGGGCGGTACGGCCGCCGGCGGCCGCTGCACCCGCGCCTTCCCTCGCGGGCGCCGTCGCGCCGCGCGCGCCCAAACTCTGCTGGTACACGGCACGCGTCGTCACAAGCCGCGGAGCACAGGCGGTATCCCCAGCGTCCCTTCCTCCTAGTCACACTCTCAGTATCTCGACTCTCCAACACGAAGTGCTGCGATCGGGGGTGGCCCATTTCTTTTTTCTTTTCTTTTTGGGGGTCCTGTGGGCACTGCCTAATAAGGAGGCGAGCGCAACACAAAGGTCAACCAACTTGGACGGCTGGCGTTCGAGATCTTGCCGAGCATTCTGAGCGACGGCTATGTTGATTCGCGCGACATTGAGGCGCTCCGCAACCAGAAGGGTGTCGGCGAGTGGAGCGTGGAGCAGCTGCAGCAGCTCCGCGACACGGGCGCGTGCTCCTACCTCATGGCGCTGCGGGCTCGGCGGCGGCAGTAGAGGGAGGGGCCGAGGGACCATACCCCCCCACCCCTGTCGAGGGCTAGTCTTGGGCGGTCAGGACCATACCCCCCCAGCCGTGGCCACCATACCACACCCCGCAAAAAGTTGGAACCCGGTGTCAACATCCACACACACACATGCATATATGCCACCCAACCACCATCACGACGCGCTCCTCTGGATGGCGCCGCTGCTGAGCGGCGGTGGCTACTCCTCCGAGAGCCTCGGCTTTGCGCTCGGCCTGCACAACCTCACCCGGCTCGATGGCGGCCTGATGGCGGGTGTCCGCCAGTTTGGCGAGCCGCAGGATGAGAGCTTCGTGGAGGGCCTGCCAAAGGCTCTGATCCCGCCGCTCCGCCACCTCTTTGGCGCGGGTGCCTCGCAGGACGCGGCGTCGGGCGTGGTCGTTTGCCACTCCACTCCCGATGCGTGGGTGTGCTGCTGCTCGCGAGAAGGAGCGGGCGGTCTGTGGCGAGTGGCTCACTCGTTTGCGGGTGTGAGCAGGTGCCGTCCAAGTTCGAGGGCTGGGACGAGCTCGAGCCCTGCCCGCCCCCGACCGCCGCCGTGTCGGTCGGTCGGACAATGTTTGAGACCGACTCTGTCCCGAGGGAGTGGGTCGAGCGGTGCAGATAGATGGAGTTCGAGTGCCGGCTAGGAGGTGCGTCTCTGCACAGCATACAGCTCCGAACAGGTGCAGCCGGATGGACGAGGTCTGGGTGCCGACACACTTCCACGCCGAGGCGTTTGCGGCGGCGGGTGTGCCGCGCGAGCGCCTGTTTGTGATCGGCGAGCCGGTCGACACCGCCTTCTTCCGACCGGGCCGGCTCAAGCCAATGCGCTTGCCGCCGCTGCCTCCGCCGTCGACACCGCCGTTGACACCGACGCCGCCGCCGCCGCCGCCACCGCCGTCGGGCGTGTCTCCGGAGCTTTCGCCTCCGCCTGCGGACCCGACGCCTCCGCTCGTCGGCCCGACGCCGCCGCCGCCCTTTCGCTTCCTCTCCGTGTTCAAGTGGGAGGCGCGCAAGGGAAGGGGCGGGTTGGGACGCGCCGCTCGCCGCCTCTGATCAAGCCGAGGCGGAGGCTGAGCTGAGAGTAGGCTCGCAAGGGGTGGGACGCGCTGCTCGCCGCTTATTTTTCAGAGTTTGGCGCCCCCGAGCCACTCGCGCGCTTGACAGCTCTCTTTTTCTGGTGCTGACAGCGGTTGTTTTCGTAGGTGCCGATGAGCCGGTGGAGCTCACTGGCGAGACGGCGCCGCCCTACACTGACTCGTGTGGTCAGCACCAACTCCATCCACAGGTGGAGCTCGTCATCAAGACAAGGCCCTTCTACTCGAGCGGCGACTTCGAGACGCTCGTTGAGGCCCCCGCCGCCGAGTGCACCGTCATTGTTAAAACCAGCATTCGCTCTCACTTCGCTACCTAACGAAAAGGCCTTCGCCGGAGGCACCGCCTGCTAATTATTAATGAATGGGCTCGCGATCAGTTGTTCGCTGGTAGGATTTCGCCGCCGAGCGCGGGCTGCCGCCGCGGCGAGACCGGCCGGCGGTGCGGCTCCTCGACACAGAGATGCCTCTGCGGAGGCTGCCCTCGCTCTACGCGGCCGCCGACGCTTTCGTGCTCCACGCGGCGGGGGGTGGACACGCAGGAAGAGAGCGGTGGGCAAAAGAGCGCTGTGAACAGGTGCTCCCCAGCCGCGGCGAGGGGTGGGGTCGGCCGCACGCAGAGGCGATGGCGATGGGGCTGCCGGTGATCGCTACCAACTGGTCCGGGCCAACCGCGTTTATGTCCGGCGAGACGGGCTCTTTCTGCTCGCTCGCTCCCAACTGATGGATTGCGTACTCTCCAAGTATGGATGAGGTAGGCGAGACGGGCTACCCGCTCGCTTGCGCCCTCGTCGCCGTGCCGCCCGAGCTCAACTTGCCAAGGCACCGCTGGGCGGAGCCCGACGCGGCACACTTGCGCGCGCTGCTCCGCGAGGTCTACACGAACCGGGAGGAGGCGCGGCGGCGAGGCGCGGCGGCGCGGCGGCTGATGGAGGAGCGTTTCTCGCCGGCGGCGCTTGCGCAAGAGGCGGTGGCGCGGGCGAGGGAGTTGCTCGCCCGCAGGAGGGGAGCAGCCGGAGGGCGGACCCGGACGGCGGAGAGAGGAGGCGCGAGGGACGAGCTGTAGGCGTCGTGTGCGCGGCGTAAAAATATGATGTACACAGGGGCCGTTTTGGGGCCGCATGGGGGGGAGCACAACCGAACGCCGGTCGCCGCCCCCTTCATTCAACCCCAAACGCGCAAACCCGACTCTCCGACGGGTGGGTTTTGGGCGTGGCCCGTGGCCGTGTGGGGACGAAGGGGGTAGCGGGGGTCCCGGCCCCGGCGGTGTATGGAGTATGACGAAACAAACAAAGGAAACCAGAGGGTTCCCAGCACTTTGCGTTTCCGAAAATTTCCACGGAAAACAGAGGGTGTTTGGTGCTCCATTCTGGAAACTCGCGAGTTTCCCTGAGTCTGAGAGCTGGTCTGCGTGGGGCAAAATCTGAGGCAAAATTGAGGAAATCAACACAAATCAAAATACCCAGGCGGTCGCAGAGGGTACGATTTCCAGGTATACCCGGGTTCTCCGCAAAATTCCCAATATTTTGCCAATTTGGCCTATAAATTTGGCTGATTTGGGGCCCAACCAGCCTCAGCCTCAGACTCGGCTCAGAGCCCAAAATTTGACGGATTTCCACGGAGTTTTCCCGGGAAAATAGAGAGGAAAAGAGGGTGCTGTAGGAAACGAGACGGGGTGCGAGAGGAAAAGCTTGTACAGCCTAAGTTGAAGCGCACCAGCCTCCCGGGCCGCGCCGGCCGGATGATCGGCAAATCGGCATCGGGCTACGCGTGCCAAAGAGCCCCGACCCTGGGGGGTGCCGGGTGCGCATTCGGAGGGAGGGGGGCGTATAAAGTAAAATCTCTGGTCTGACCAGGTGTGTATTATTTTTGCTTGGGCGGCCTCCATCCCGGGGTAGGTAGGGTAGGTCTGGGCCCTCCCGTCGGGTTTGAGGTATGGATAAACCAGACACCACTATGTTATATCATAGGATATAACATACTGAGATACCAGGCTCTTCCCTGGCATATCAGCTATCAAGAAAACGTCTGACTTCTAGGAGGAGGAGCTCTGTATTCTGCTTTTTCGCCACATCCCACAGAAAACATCCGGGCCATGGGAATATCGGTCCAGACGCTCTGGGTTCTGGTTTTTCGAGGTGTGAACGATCTCCCCGGAGGGGTCATTCCGGCGGAATGACCCCTCATTAACTCATCGGATTCCGAATGGGTCGAACGGGAGTACTAAGACAGCAGCATGTTCTGGGTGGGAGGAACCCTTGGGGGGAACGCGTAGGTCTGGTTTCTGGTTTCTGGTTTTTCGATATAGCAGGGTTTTTATCGAAATATCGCGATGAGCCCACCGGCATTAGAGGTTTCTGGTTTCTGGTTTTTGCTCCGAAAGCGAGGTTGGCGACGCGCCGCGCTGCCAAGCACTTTTGTGGCTCACGGGGTCCGCCAGGCTGCCGCGATCCCGAGCGGAAACGCCGTGGCAGCCAACATGGCTGCCTTGTGCATCGGACGCCGACCGGCGGGGCCGTTGCTTGTCATGCCCAAGCCCTGAAAGGCTGAGCTGTGAAAGGCGGGCGTTGTGCGAGTGTTTTAAGTACCTATCATCTATCAATAGTGTGTTTGGATCTACTCTGTTGGAGACAGAAATAAGCTCATCACAACGTCGGCGGAGCGGCCAATGCGCGCGGCGATCTTGTATGAGGGCACCACCAGGAGCTGGCAAGGCCTCATCGCACGCTACCACACGTGCCGATCCGTGCCGAGATTTACCCTCACCCGGCGTTGACAACCTCAGCTTGTAACACTCATCACCAGTCGGAGCAGAAACCAGAAACCAGAACAAAGAATTCTTAAGATACAAGCCTCTCTCACAGCACACTGGCACGACAAGGGCGCGGACTGGCGCGGACTGGCACACACACAGGCTCACCACCGGAGCCGCCTAAGCGACTCCGTTAAGAACGGCAATGCACTCCGCACCATGCACAATGCCGCTCTCCCCGCACGCTAGCTCGTTCACCGTCTGCCACGCCACGGCGGTGTGGAGGACGACAGACAAGCGCTGCATCTGCAGCCCGTGCCAGTTCTTGGTGGTCCATGTGACCTCGTCCAGGTGCTGAGCGTGCGAAAGTTTGTTGCTCAGCTGGTTCGCCGCCTCCCTCAGGGTGCTGCGAACCTCCTTTCCAAAGCCTCCGAAAGCCTCAAAATCAAACAAACGTAGATCGCAATCCTGCTGCCGCGCAAAGGGGTAATCGCCAGGCAGCTCCTTGAGCTTTCCCTTGGGGGCATCCTCCTCCTCCCCCTCCTCCCCCTCCTCCTCGGCCTCCTCCTCCTCCCCCGCCACCGCCGCTGCCGTCGCTCCCGACGGAGACCACTTGCCGCGCCCTTTGACCAACTTGAGCAGCCCGGTCTCCGTGTTGCCAAAACGCACATAGGCCCCCTTCCAGCCGAGCTCTCCGTCGCCGGCCGTGTCCTTGCCCTGGCTCGCAAGCGAACTCGTAAGCTTCAGATCGGCAACAAGGCGCCTGTGCCCCCTGCCGATGTTTGCCGCCGCCACGTCAGGTTGTTTTGGATTACTGTAACTGAGGTGTGCAGTCGGCTCCATCTCGATGATCATGCCCCACGCCGAGCGGAGGCATTTGATCAAACGTTTGAGTAGAAATTTGTGTCTTGTAGCATGCTTTGACCGAGGGTTAACCATCGCGGCGTCGCCAAAGACGTCGTGTAGCTGGCCGCTGGGTGCCCTCTTGCCTGCCTCCACCGCCTGGCAGGCGACATCAAGGGGGAGCCCAAGGCGGCGCTGGACGGTGACGCGCATCGCCCAGGACTCCATCTTCATATCATCACGCATGGGGATGCCAGAACAAAGAATGCATGCCGCTTTTTGCTGTTCCCACTTGAAAAAAATTCGGATGGTGGTCACCTGTTCATTGGCCGGAATGAGCTCATTAGGACGAAGCGGGAGATGTATTCACACCGCAGAAACCAGACCCACAGGCAGATCCCACGGGAAATCGAGGCGGGTGTCCCAGAAAACAGATCCCAGAAAAAAACAGAGCGCGCCGCAGAAACCGACCGACCCGTGGGTTTTCGGCTATGGGAAACCGCCATGGGGAACCGCATCAGAAACCCTATGGGAAAACGAGGTCTGGTGTCTGCTTTATCCACGAATGTCGGGTTTTCACCTCTCTTCACGCCGGAATTTTCACGGCAGAAAAAGAAATTTTCCGCCGAAATCACGATGTCAACCACCCTCCCCAAATGGGGGGGGGGGTCAAATGGGTGATCTGGTGCTTGTAGGGCTTGAGAGTGGCCTGCCATGTCACAGGAAGGACTTGTGGTTCCAGGAGAGTACCACCAACCATCACTTTAGTCGGTATAGTAAAAGAAAGAAAACACACAACCCAAGGGAGGGATGGGAGCAGGGAGGACGGCACACCGCAACCACACGGGGATTTTAAGGAGAGAAGTGCGGTGCTAGCCGTCGCCCACCCTTGGGCGTCTACCACTTCCTATCTCTCTTCGCAGTTTCTCACCAATTCTCGCAGAGCGACCTTCATGCCACCTCGCGGTCGTCCCACTCTCGTCCTGTCGTTCTCTCTCCTGCTGTTTCATCCTCTGACTCATCTCTCTCCTCGGCCTCGTTCTGAGACGCCGCTCGAACACACCTCGTCTGACGGAAAAACACTGGCCGCAAATTCTTCTCACACGAGCCCCCGGGTTCGCCAGAAGAAGACACTCCGGAATCCACTGTGAATCCAGCGATGCGCCGCGGCCTGTCACCGCCGGCCGCCTTACTGCTAGGCTCCAGGACGAGACACCGACACGCACACTAGATACGCGCGGATGGCCGCCGTCTTCCACGCAGGACCGGCCGGTGCTCGTCTAGAGCGCGGCGGCAAAATTGGCAATCGCCTGGCGAGCGGCGGGCGCGGCACCCGCGCCGGTCGCCGCACCTGCACCAGCAGGCGCCGCGCTGGCCGTCCCCGCGCGGGCGGCTCCGATGGCCGCCGCGCCGGCCGCCCCGCGGGCCACCGCACCGGCGAGGTCCTCCATTGGCATCGCCGTGCCGGCGGGTGCCCCTCCGGTGGGTGCCCCCGCTCCGGTGGTCGCCTCGCCGGTGGTCGCCTCGAGCAGGTTGGCCGGCTGCGCCAGCGGCGCAATCTCGGGGGACTTGTAGTACATCGCAACACAAAGGTCAACCAACTTGGACGGCTGGCGTTCGAGATCTTGCCGAGCATTCTGAGCGACGGCTATGTTGATTCGCGCGACATTGAGGCGCTCCGCAACCAGAAGGGTGTCGGCGAGTGGAGCGTGGAGCAGCTGCAGCAGCTCCGCGACACGGGCGCGTGCTCCTACCTCATGGCGCTGCGGGCTCGGCGGCGGCAGTAGAGGGAGGGGCCGAGGGACCATACCCCCCCACCCCTGTCGAGGGCTAGTCTTGGGCGGTCAGGACCATACCCCCCCAGCCGTTCGCACCATACCACACCCCGCAAAAAGTTGGAACCCGGAACCACGCGGACAAAGCTCGGCCCGGCAGCATCCGGCTCGTGCTCGATCCTCCTCCGCGACGCCGTTCGCCTTCGTGAGGCCGCGCCATAGCACGCACCGCCCGCTGAGATGGGGTCTGGCGAGGCTAAGAAGTTTCGTGCGCAGTTTGGCTCGGCGGGCCGGCACGGCGACTCGTTCTGGAAGGAGGAGCAGGACAACATCGGCATGAAGCTGCTCAAGGGGATGGGATGGGACGCGGGCCAGGGCCTCGGCAAGAACGGGCAGGGCATGGCCACCGCTGTCAAGCAGATCCGCAAGCAGGACAACCGCGGCATCGGCGCGACGGCGGCGACGCGGGACGAGGCGTTCAAGGCGTCACAGGACCTCTTCAACGGCGTGCTCGCGCGACTCAACGGGAAGGGGGACGACGCCTCCGCCGCGGGCGGGCTGGGAGGCAGCGAGACCACCATCAAGGGCTCAATCGCGAAGCGGCAGCTGGCCGGCCGCTTCCGGCGCGCCAAGGACACCTCTATGGCGTCCGCCAGCGACCTCGCCGCCATCTTTGGCCGCGCGCCGAGCAAGGAGGGCGGGGCCGCCGCCGGCGACGTCTCCTCCGCAGCGCCCGGCGCCGTCGAGGCGCCCTCTGAGCAGAAGACCAGCAGCCTCTCTCTGCAAGAGTACTTTGCCCAGAAGAGGCGCGAGCTCGGCCTCGCTCCTGCGGCCGGGGGCGGCGGCGGCGGCGGCGGCGGCGGCGCGGGCTTCTCGCTCGACGACCAGGCCATGTTTGCTGAGCAGCAGGCCGCCGCCGCATACTCCGGCCGGGTCGGACTCGGCGGTGGCGGGTACCGCAGCGCCGGAGGAGGAGGCGGCGGCAGCTGGGTGCCTGAAAAGCGGTACACTGACGCGAGCTGGACGGACCCAAAGGCTGCGATGCCGACCCCTGCCGCGCTGGCCGCTCGCGCCGGCGGCAGTGGCGGCGGCGGCGGCGGTGTGCCCTCGGGGGGGGGCGTCGAGCGGGAGGGCAAGGAGGCGCGGAAGGCCAAGAGGAAGGAGGAGAAGCGGCTGGAACGCAAGGCGGCCAAGAAGGCGGCCAAGAAGGCGGCGGCGGGCGAGGCGGCGCCCACGGCGAAGCCGGGGGATGCGGACGCGGCTGAGAAGAGGAGCAAGAAGAAGCGCGAGGGCGAGGCCGCGACCGATGCCGACGAGGCAGCCCGCGCCGCCAAGAAGTCCAAGCGCGAGCGTGCCGGAGGAGCGAAAACAAAGAAGAGAAAGGAGTGCCCCCTATCGTAATTATCGACAGCCAATATGTATAAAAAGCAAAGCGTGGATGAGCTCTGGCGAGAGCTCTGAGAAAGCAGAAAAGGACACCCGCCGCTGCACCGCCGAAGGCGGAAGGGAAGCGGAGCGATCAAAGAATCCACGTGCGTGGTCGGGTGGTCGGTCCTGGGGTCGCGGTCCCCCCCGCGCCCCGGCCCCGCGCGTTATGGATAGGATTCCTTTTAACCTTATGCCCAACCCACAAAATGAATACGCATCGCCTCTTATGCGGGTGCGTAAAACCTGTAGTGCATAGACAGGCGCAGTTATGAAAATACAGCAGATACGAAGGGGAGGCCGGCCCTCACCCCGGACCTGCTCACATACAGCGCATCTAGGCATATTTTCCTTCGAAACCAAGCACATTAATACTTCAATGTTGGCCCTGCCTCGCACATACGCAGCATATGCCTACCAATTCAGGCCCATCTCGGACGACCGCGTTACGCGCGAGGTGTCCACCGCCGAGTGCCGGGCTCGCGAGGGACAAATGATGAACTCAGAGGGCATGAAAAGTTGTCAAGCTGCTTGATCAGGCCAGTGAAGATGGCCCGCGAGGCAGCTTTCGTGAGCAGGTCGGCGAGCATCACGACGCCGGGGAGGTGTTCGACGGAGATAACGCCACGGTTGACGAGATCGCGAAGAAACTCGGCGGCGCGCAAGCCGGAAGATGTGCTTGGTCTTCTTGAAGGCGACACGGGGGTCGAAGGCCGTGCCGACGGCGGACTTCCTGTCGCAGTTGATGATGCTGGCGCCGTCGATGGAAAATCCAAGGTCGGTCAGTAGTTCGCGGATGAAATCACCTCCTTGGCGGCGAGCATAGCGCCAAAGAACTCTGCCTCGGCGCTCGAGAGCGTGATGGATCGCTGCATCTTGGAGAACCAGTGAGCAGTGTGGAAGAGGCATCCGTAGAAAAAGAAATTTACAATAAAACTCTCTCTAATAATAAGAACATGCTACCGGAGCAAGCGGGTTTCGTAGCCCAGTTTGAATCGACGTAGCTCTCGAGGTTGCGGTCGGGGACCTCAGCGTTTCACCCAAATCCGATGGTCCGCCACTTTCTCGCCCAGCATGGGCCGTTGACATAGTTGGAGAAATTGAAAGGTACTCTCTTTTCTAGTGAGAGGAACGGGATCCTCAAGAGTCAAGTAGTGTATGTCAAACTGTGGTTTGTCCAAAAAAAACGGCCGAGCACCCCCCCCCGCAAGGATGGACGTTCTTTTTAGAAAGAAAAGGGTTTGGGGAGTGTCGAAAAAAAGACTATTCTTGACCAAACACGCGCCGCCGGCGATGGGTGTGCTTTTTTTGGAAGAGGGAAATACATTACAGCTCTCCAAAGTCAGCTACTTCACTTAGAGACTGAGGCTCTCTGAAAGAGAGGACTTGGAGCACTTTGGAGTGCAGTCGGCAACCTCACATCCAGGGCCGGGGAGCTAAGAAGCGCACCCAGCGGGTCGGATGATAGAGCTGTTTAACGTTGGGAGCTGAACAGTGTTGCTAGTGTTAACAGTAACAACAGAACAACAGTGGGGCTCCCCAACAACAGTAGCTAACGTTCGGCTGAACAACAATAAAAGGAAGGCCTGGCAGTGACCCACGACGACCTCCAGTGTCCAGTGCGGGTAATACCCGAAAATACCCGGGAAAACCCAGTGCTGCGCCGGCGCCGGCGCAGATCTGCGCCGATGCCGGCGCAGAAAACGGCGCACTTTTCACCACATACGCGTTTTGCATGGTTTTACGCGCCCCACCGCCGGCCCAGACCGCCGCCCGGCCCGCCCGTCCGCCCGCCGCCTACGGTGCCCACCCCGCGCCCCCGGAGCCCGAAAACGGGGCGCCGCGAGCTCGCAACGCCGAGTTTTCCTCGAAATCACACCACATAGATCTACCTGGTTGCCCCTTCCTATCGATGTGTGTGTATGTTGATTGTCGCAACGACTGCGATCATCACCGCGGCCGCGACCCCTACGCCGCGCGTCCTCGACATTTGCTCGTTTGGCGCTATCGACGGGCTTGAGAGCGCAGCCGCTGCGGCTGCCAACCAGCGGGCGCTCAACGCAGCGCTTGCGGCGGCGGCGGCTGGCGACACCGTCCTCATCCCGGCTGGCGCCTTCTACACACTCGGCGGCGTCGTGGCCAACGGGCTCGTGAACGTCACCGTCGACGTGACAGGCTCTCTGATCGCCGCGCCCGCCTACGACGCGTGGCCCGTGAGCAACAACAAGCCGGCATACGCCAACTTTGTCCAGTTCTCTGGGTGCGAGGGGGTCACGCTGACTGGCAAGGGCGGGCTCGGACCGGGCCGGGTCGCCGGCGGAGGCCTCGTCGACGGCCGCGGCGTCGGGTGGTGGAACCGCGAGATCTTCCCGCATATATTTGGGCGGCTGCGCGGGGAGCGCCCGCGGCTCATTGCCATCAGCGACTCGAGAGGCCTCTTGATCGAGCGGCTGACGCTGCTCAACTCTCCGACCTACCACCTGCTGCTCGATGACGTGGCCGAGGCCGAGGTGCGGCTGCTCAACATCACTGTCGACCGCGCGGCGCAGCGCGATCTCAAGCACCGCGCAAGGCAGGCGCGCCTGCAGGAGGCCGGCGCGGACGGCACGGCGCCGCTCGGAGGCCTCGAGCCTGAGGACCTCAACACGGACGGGATTGATCCTTCCGGGCAGCACATCTGGGTGCACGATAGCCTCGTCGCCAACGACGACGACAGCATCGCCGTCAAGCCCTGCGCCGCAGACAGCTGCGTCCGCTCGCCCTGCTCGCAGCACATGCTCTTCGAGCGCCTCAACCTGACCGGGTTTGGCGCCTCGGTTGGCTCGGTCCCGCCGCACGCGCCCTCGCCGCACTGCGTCAATAATGTAACCTTCCGTTCAATCCGCATGATCGAGAGCGGCAAGGGAATCTACATCAAGTCCAACCCCGAGTGCGGCATCGATGAGGTCGCGGGAGCCCCAAAGGCGCGCGCGTGCGCACACACAACACACACAACACACACAACACACACAACACAACACAACACAACACAACACAACACAACACAACACAACACAACACACACACACACACACACACACACACACACACACACACACACACACACACACACACACACACACACACACACACACACACACACACACACACACACACGCACACACGCACACACGCACACACATGCAGCCACAATCGCAGCGGCACCGTCTCGGGCGAGGGGCGCCTCGTCGCCACTCCGCCGCCGCCTCGCACCACAGGCGGCCATCATCTCAAACATCCTCTACGAGGACATCCTCATCGACCGCCCGCGCTGGTGGGCCATCTGGATCGGGCCGCAGCAGCAGCACGAGCCGCACTCGTCGCTCGGCCTAAAGTGCGCCCTCGACTACCCGCTCTCGCGCCACTGCCCGACGCAGGGCTGCGTCACCTTTGCAAACATCACGCTGCGCAACGTCCACATCGAGCGTCCGCTCATCTCTCCGGGCGTCATCAAGGGCAACGCGACCAGCCCAATCACCGGGCTCGCCTTTGACAACGTGACGGTCTCGCGTCCCGGCCGATTCCCCTTTGGCGCGAGCTACGAGTGCGAGCACGCCTCTGGCCGCGCCGTGGGCTCGTCGCCGCCGCCGGCCTGCTTGCTGCCGGGAGTCCTGAGTTCTTGGTAGGAGTTGCTGGGTACTGCATGCGTGTTGCGAGAATGGAGTTGGAGATGGATCATGGATTGGGGAGAGGGTACAAGGCTATTTTCGATCGGGTTCGCAGGTGGGGCTGCACCTGGGCACACTGGACGGCCCGGCTAGGGGACGCATGTACCACTACCGTGCCACAGTATCCGGGGGATGTACCTGTGGTAACAGCTCCGCGTTCCTGGGGCTGGTACAAGGCGCTACAGTACGGCTTTAGGGACAGCGGACACTAGCTTGAAATGCATGTAGATTGTGCCAAAGACTATCAATAAATGCACCGCTCTCACGTCTCAGATATGCAGGGCGAGCGTCTGGAGGATATGGACCATGATGAACGTCCACCAGCGCAGAACGTGATTAGAGCTGTCAAACGTTAACTTTGGGCCTAACAGTTGCACTATTGTTGGCTGAAATCCTCAACGTTGTTCAAGTGTTCTCCCCAGCCCAAGCTGTTACTGTTTGTTACTGTTGTTACTGTTGTTCAGTGGTCAGCAAGCAGAAAATGCCAAAAAACCCGGGTAAAACCCGAAAATACCTGGGTTTTCCCAGGTATTTTCGGGTATTACCCGCACTGGACGCTGGAGATCGTCGTGGGTCACTGCCAGGCCTTCCTTATTGTTGTTCAGCTGGCCTAACGTTAGCTACTGTTGTTGGGGAGCCCCACTGTTGTTCTGTTGTTACTGTTAACACTAGCAACACTGTTCAGCTCTTAACGTTTGACAGCTCTAAACGTGATGGGCAGTGCAGCAAGGTCTGCAAGCGCTTCTGCATCGATAGAGGCTGCATCACAGGCGTCGAGGATGGCGTGGTGGCCAAAGCGTTCGATCAGGCCAGAAAGACCAAGAGCATGCGCAGCATCACAGCGCGCGGAGGGGGGTGCGGGGGGAGGGAGGGAGGGGGGTGCGGGGGGAGGGAGGGAGGGGGGTGCGGGGGGAGGGAGGGAGGGGGGTGCGGGGGGAGGGAGGGAGGGGGGTGCGGGGGGAGGGAGGGAGGGGGGTGCGGGGGGAGGGGGGGGGGGGGAAGAGTCGGGAGAAAAAATAATTTATTTTTTGACACGGCGACACGCGACACGGGTCCCTCCAAAAACTTTCTGGGAGATTGAAAATTGCGGTTGCTCATCCCCCTCGTCATCCTCAACCTCCTCACCACGTACACACAGGAGAGGTGGGAGTACCCCCCTCCCCCACCTGCCCTGCTTACACAGGATAGCATGCCCCGGGAAATGCGACATTTGGCGGGGGGAACCAGGGAGGGAGGGTCGGTTGTGCTTTTGGAGCACTTGGAGCACTTGGAGCTTTTTTTTAAGCTTCTCAGGGGAATGTTCTCACGTCGCCCATGGCCTTTTTCCGAGGTTACGTGCTAATGACGTCCTTCTTGGCACTTAGATTATGGCTGAACCGGGAGCGTTCAAGCGGCGGCCCATACCCGTAGCACATTACCGGGGGAATTCAGCCATAATCTATCCTACCGACGTCGGCTGGGGACTCTCTGCAATCGAGTGGCCCCCGGTTCGAAATGGCGGGTTGACCCCACTAATCGTTTTTGTTCACACCTGAGCGGGCTCAATTTTGCTCTATAGGTGCCTCCTATTGCACATTTGCAATACGATTCGAACTCGCGTTCTCAGGCAGATCGCCTGGTCCCTGGTGCGTTGTCGTTTTTCGTGATGGGAGATGACGATTGATTGACAGGTGACAGTGACTGGGATACAACCACCCCCCTCGACCCTGCTCCTACACAGCTGTGTAATATAATAGAGCAGCGTCCTGTCCCGGCTGTCCGTGGCGTCCTGGCGTCCGATTAGCGTCCGATGTGATAAGTGATCGTCACATACTCGAGAGTCGAGTGCGTACCCCAAGCCATCCGGCAGACCAAGAACTCGCCAAGACATGTGACACCTGCGGCAGGCCGTCGTCGCGCGCTGGATTGTTTCCCCGGGAGATTGCCTACACGGCTCTATTGCCGGAGCCGTGCAGGAGTGACTGCCGGGCGTGGCCGTGGGGCTGGGGGAAGAGAGAGCGGTGTGAGCGCTCTTTGGATCCTGTGAGAAGCCGAGTCGTTCACCGAGGGGGGGGGACCGAGGGGTGTTTTTCTCAGTTGAAGAGGACCACTTTGACGACGCTCCTGGCAGCGAGACCGAGCGCCCAAGGTGACCGCCGGTCATCAAAATCAAACGAACTTCCACGACCCGCTGACGCACCGCTCCACCTCGCGCACCAGAGCCAGCTCCGCCTCGGACTGGCTGTCTACGAGGCTCACCGCGCGACCCGCAGCCGAGACCTATTCGCAGCCTTCGTCTAGTACACAGCTCTCCTCTGTGGCGGTGTCCTGGCCGCCAGACGGACCCCCCTCGCGGTGCGGCCGACACGGTGCATGTACTCCACCTAGGTACAGATGCGATACAGATGCGAAGCCTGAATGTCTCTTCGAGGAGCGCAACCATGTGCGGCGCGAGCAGCTGCACCACTCGGTAAGCTCGGGTAAGCTCGGGTAAGCTCGGGTTAGCTCGGGTAAGCTCGGGTAAGCTCGGGTAAAAAGCTCGGGTAATCTCGGGTAGTCTGCACCATGTGCGGCGCGAGCTGCTGCTGCACCACCAGCACCACTCCGGCCAGATCGAGCCCGCGCGCGGCGAGGCCTGAAACAAGACGGCTGTGAAGTCACACAACAAAGGGCGAAGGAAAGGTCTGCGCGCGGCCTGGCCCGAGCAGACCACGCTATATCTCGGCCATACCTCGGCTGTCTCTCGGCTGTCTCTCGGCTGTCTCTCGGCTGTGTCTTGCGCCAGAGCAAGCGAGCACGCCCCGCTCGTCCTCGCCGAAGCCCGCCAGCGCCGCCTCCCGCTCGCCAGCAGACAGGCTCGGGTGAAAGGCAAAGCACGAGCAGCCGGACGCGCGGAGCTGCTCGGCGACGCGCGCGGCGCGCGAGGCCTGGTCACGGCGGCGCAGCTGTGAGGAGGCGCCGCTCACGCGGAGCGGCGCGACCTCCTCCGCTCTCCGAACCGGCAAGGAGCTCTCTCTCTCTCGGCTGTGTCCCGGCCACATCTCGGCCCCGTCTCGGCGGCACGCCGAGTTTGCGAAGACGAGAGTCCGCCCCTCCCTCCCCCGCACCAGCTTCAGCAGCTCCGCCGCCCGCTCCGCGTCGTCAGCCACGCGCACAAACTCGGTCTGCAGCGCCGCCACCGGCCGGTGAGCGCCCGAGGAGCGCACCTGGAGGCGGGAGGTGCAGCCGAGGTGGAGCTGAGATGCAGCCGAGGTGGAGCCGCGAGATGGCCGAGGAGGGGAGCTGGAGGCCGGGGGAGGAGGAGTGGCTTGGGGTGGCTTCAGGGAGGGGTTGGGCAGGGGCAGGAGTACGGCTGTATCTCGGCTGTATCTCGGCACCCAGACGGCGTCTGGAACGTCTCGCGCGAGGAAGGCACCGACGGAGTGGCGGCCTATTCGCAGCGTCGACGCGACGCTGTGAAGAGACGCTCTTCACAGTGGCGGCGAAGGCGCCGGCGGAGGGTCCGCCCTGGCCAGGAACAGTCGCGGAGGCAAAAATCAGCTGCGGCGGGGACTCTTGCGGCTCTGCCTCCCCTTCCCGCCGCCTCGGCCGCTTTCGCGGCCGCGCGAGGCTGAGCACGTTTGATGCAGGCAGCGCCGCCGCCTGTTCACAGATAGGTTCACACCGCCTGGCTGTGTGAAGAGGGCAGGTGCTGGCCCTTGAGTGAGGGGTGGCGCCGCCGCCTGCTTGCCCTTCTTCATCACGCCCGCGAGGAGCAAGTCGCACCTGTCCGGGGGACATGTCTCGGAAGTGTCTCGGAGGTGTCTCCGGAGCGTCTCTGCCTCTGGAGTGTCTCTGGAGGTGGCAAATCGCACTCGTCAAACACGACGCGGAGCCATCTCTCGGCTACACCTCGGCTACTCTCGGCTATCTCTCGGCTACACCTCGGCTATCTCTCGGCTATCTCTCGGCTACATCTCGGCTATCTCTCGGCTATCTCTCGGCTACATCTCGGCTATCTCTCGGCTATCTCTCCGCAAATCGCACTCGTCAAACACGACGTGCAGCCGCCCCTCCCTCCTCCGCCAGCCGGACAGCAAGCCCTCCACCGCCGTCGCCGTCCCAACCACGACGTGCGAGCCTCGCGCGTGGTCGGAGCTCGCCTGAGGAATCCACGCCACTTAAGGGTAATCACCATCAGTTAGTGAGCCCCTCGCGCGTGGTCGCAGCTCGCCGCGGCGACCAAGAGCGGCGAGCACTGAAGCAGCGCCCGCGCCTGCGCCAGCAGCTGCTCGCAGAGCACCTGTGGGACATGTGCATGCACATGCCACTGACATCTCCTGACATATCAGTCAGCTCGCAGAGAGGTACCGAGGTCGGGACGACCAGCAGGAGCCGCCCCGTCCTCGACGGCGATGGCGCCTCGCCGCCGCCCGCCCGCCCAATCTGCTCACCGCCGCCCGCCCGCTCGAGCATTGCGTGCAGCAGCGGGAGGAGATACGCGAGTGTCTTTCCCGAGCCCGCCTCAGAGACGAGGATCGCGTCGGCGCCGCCCGCGAGGTGTGGCCACGCGAGCCGCTGGATCTCGAGCGGAGCCGTGAAGGGCAGGGCCGCAGAAAGCTCATGCCGAAGCCCGAGCTCCGCAAAGGTGCGTACCTCTCCAGCGGCAGCAGGCTCGCCTCGCTGCAGCATGCGCGGTGAGGTCTCGCGGACCGTGCTACAGATCGACGGATACAGAGGGCGAGGGACGTAGAGGAGGAGGGACGAGAGGCTAGGTAAACGCATGAGCGACTGTCGGGTATTGCCACAGCGACTGTAGCGTCCGTGCGCGCGAGGATGGCCTCGCCGGGTGGTGCGGCCGCAGCAACTCTGTTCACAGCCTTGTTATTGAGAAGAAAATACCTCTCATGGCGCTGTGCGCTGGCCTGTGAGAGGTTGAGGTTCACAGCTCTTGTTATTGACAAGAAAATACGTCCGAGGGCCCAACTTCAGAATCGTGCTTTTTTGGTTAGGGACCAAAGCGCGAAGGACCACTTTTGGGTTAGGGACCGCGGGCGACAGGTTAGGGACCGATCGCCGCCGCATACGCCGGCGGACGGCCACCAAATTGGTGCTTTTGGCTTCGTCACCGTTCAAAGCGTGCGCAATGCGCTCGCCGACATCAAGCGAGCACGCCTGTCCGACGAGCGGCTTCCTGTGCGGACGGCTTCTTGTGGCTCTCGTCGAGAGCGTTTTGCGACCCGGCGGGTGGGAGAATATGTGTCGTCTGATGTGTCACTATGTACGTCACATCGGTCTTGATAATAAGCACGGTCGATCCGTCGAAGCGATACACCCGTTCCTATCACGTTGGACGGCTGGCACGGGAGCTCTGTGCCAGCAACAGGAACCGAGCCGTACGGCAAGAAGAGCTCGATGGGGAGCGAGAACCGTCAGAGGAGCTTCAAGGGTAACCTGAAGTCCTCCGTGACGCGCTCAATCGCTCCCAAGCGGGTGGCTCTCGAAAACCGTCGATATCTTCCGGAAAGACTGCTCTTGCCGAGCAGCCGATATGTGCCCAGACGGAGGCGCAGAAAGGCTGCGAGTACTCAACGAGTTCCGCGACCTACGCAGTCAAACCTGGGGGGAACTGACCGCATCATGGCGGACTTCCGAAACCTCCGTGAGCACCTCTGACGGTTCTCGCTCCCCATCGAGCTCTTCTTGCCGTACGGCGGTCTTCCTGATGCGTGCCGGCACAGAGCTCTGTGCAAGCCGTCCAACGTGATAGGAACGGGTGTATCGCTTTGACGGATCGACCGTACTTGTTATCAAGACTGATATGACGTACACAGTGACACATCAGACGACACATGCTCTCCCACCCGCCGGGCCGCAAAACGCTCTCGACGAGAGCCACAAGAAGGCGTCCGCACAGCAAGCCGCTCGGTCGAACACGTTGCTCGCTCGATGCCGGCGAGCGCATTGCGCACGAGGTAGACGGTGGCGTAGCTAACATCACTGACGAAGACCGTCCGCTGGCGTGAGCGGCGGCGATCGGTCCCTAACCTGCGGTCCTTCACCGCAATCGGTCCTTCGCGCTCGTCCCTAACCCAAAAAAGCACGATTCTGAAGTTGGGCCCTCCGTCCGCTGGCGCTTTGCGCTGGTCTGTGAGAGGTTGAGGTGCGAGCCCTGGAGGCCCTGGGGATGGGGGGAGACTACCCGCGGGCCTAGAAGGCCCGCGCGCAGGGGTGGGGCATTGAGATTGAACATTCTGTTCAGCGTGTGGACCACTTGTCCGATGTCCAGCGTCAGCGCGGAGGAAGAGCGGCATTGCCATGGTAGGCCAGGCCCACCTTATACTGCAGCGCAGCGCGAGCCTGCATGTGCTCGCGCAACCCACATAAACACACAACCCCGGTCCGCCTGCGTGCGGCGCCAGCTTCCCAGGGCCATAGCGCGAAAAACGAAGGAGGAGATGCATCCTAGCTGTCGCCACCGAAGGCGACTCGACGCCCGCTGAGATCGGAGATCAAGCTCTGACAGGTCAGACGCGTCGCTCCTTTGTGCTTTGACGCCGACGTGACTCACCCGTGCAGAGCACATCAGGACACGGTCTCGATGCGCTCGGTACGACGCCTGCGACCCGTCTCGGGTCAGGTGGCACGACGCTCATCGGCTCATCGCGCCTGCCAGCGCTGCCGTGCAGGTTGCCACGACGAGGTCGAGCACGCTTCTATACGCTCGCCCAGCCTTCCTTTCCATCCCATTAGGTAGCCTGGGAACGGTGGCGGTCAGAGGCAAAGCCTACGAGGGGTGGTGGAACCACATGTCACGGCCACCGCCGGCTCGACGCGACGATAGCCTCCGGAGGCTGACTTTGAGGCACCATCATCGGACGATGTCGACGAGTTGGGTCGCTCTCGCGGTAATAAATAAATAAAAACGGTCAAACTCTGAGACGAGATGGGATTTAGGGACATGTGTCCCCGCCCTGCACGATCTTGGTGTGAGGGATCTTCAATCCGTCCCCTCACCCCCTGGTCACTACCCGACACTAGAAGAGCAGCAAGAGTTGGGGCTGTGGCTACGGCTGCGGCTGCGGGAGGGGCTATGGTCGCGGGAGAGCCGCTGCGCCACGTGGGCGCGCCTACACCGCGCTTGCTCCGCTCGCCTCTCGCCACCTCTCGCAAAGGTCCAAACTCTCGCGGTAGCCAGAGGTAGCCCCCCATACTAGTAGCACCAGCCATAGCCTCAGGGCGAGGGCGCTGGGAGCAACACGGACAAAAACATCTCAAAAGTGGTCATTTGTCACAGCTGTCAGCTCCCGAGTCCCGTAAAGCGTAAAATTGCAACTAGTGGTCTCACGCTTCGCGCTATCACAGGCACACAGGCTAGTGCCATTTCACTCTGACACGCTAATCTTGAAAACGTCTCCAACGGAGCTCCGTGTTGCTTCCAGCGCCCTCCCCCGCGCTTCCTGCGGCCATGGCCGATGATCCTAGGAAGAGAGGTCATCTGGCTACCGCGAGAGCGACCCAACTCGTCGACATCGTCCGATGATGGTGCCGCAAAGTCAGCCTTCGGAGGCTATCGTGGGGTGGAGCCGGCAGTAGCCGTGACATGTGGTTCCACCACCCCTCGTAGGCTTTGCCTCTGACCGCCACCGTTCCCAGGCTGCCTACTGGGATGGAAAGGAAGGCTCGGCGAGCGTATAGAAGCGTGCTCGACCTCGTCGTGGCAACCTGTACGGCAGCGCTGGTAGGCGCGATGAGCGTCGTGCCACCTGACCCGAGACAGGTCGCAGGCGTCGTACCGAGCGCGTCGAGACCGTGTCCTGATGTGGTCTGCACGGGTGAGTCACGTCGGCGTCAAAGGAGCGACGTGTGACCTGTCAGAGCTTGATCTCTGATCTCAGCGGCGTCGAGTCGTCTCCGGCGCGCAACAAATGTACCTCCCCAGGACGCGCAGAGGCAGCTGCGACCCCGCCGAGTAGACGGCGGCACACCGCGCCACCTGCTGTGTGCCGCCGTCTACTCGGCGAGGTCGCAGCTTCCACTGGAAGGCACCGAGAGGTACATTTTTCGCGCAAATGGTCAAAATCAAGGTTTTGTAACGCGGGCTGTGCCACAGTGAAATGGCACTAGCCACACTGTCCCACTTCCCACACCGTCTAACAGAGGCTCACGCCGTGGGCAGATAAGGAGAGCTGCGCTTCTTTCTTTCTTTCTTTCTTTGCTCCAAGTGCCAACGCACCACACACCACACACACACACTCCCGTCACTTCTTCTTCTTCTTCCCGGGCGCGGGCGTCGGCAGCGGGATGCCTCCGTTGTCGATCAGCTGCTGCAGCCTCTTGCACTCCTCCTCCGCCTTCTGCTCGTCGCGCTTGAGCTTGTCGAGCTGCGTCTGCTGCCTCACGCGCAGCAGCGGGTTGGTCGGCGGCGCCTTGGCCTGCAGCGCGGCGATATCCTCCGCCGCCTTCAACTTTTTCAACTGCTCCTCCCGCAGCTGCTGTTGCAGCCTGCCCAGCTCGTCCATCTCCTCCGCCGGCGCAGCCTCGGACGGCCCCGCCCCCGCCCCCGCCGCCCCCGTCCCCGCCGGCGGCGCGGCTGCTGGCGCCGCTGCCGACGCCGCCTCTGGCGCGGGCGCTGCCGGTGAGCTGGGCCGCACCGGTAGCAGCTTGAGCTTGATCGGCAGAGGCGCACCGCCACCGCCTCCGCCTCCGCCTCCGCCACCGCCGCCACCGCCACCGCCGCCACCGCCTCCGCCACCGCCACCGCCACCGCCACCGCCACCGCCGCCGCCACTGCCGCCGCCGCTGCTGCCTGCGACTAACGCACTGCCTGCCTGCGACTTGGGCTCGAGCGCTGGGAACGGTATGGGCCCGCCCCTTCCGCCGCTGCCACTGCCGCCTCCGCCACTACCACCGCCACTACCACCGCCGCCGCCGCCGCCGCTGCCGCTGCCGCGCTCGGCATCGATCTCTGCCTGCCTCTGTGCCGCTCTCCGCTCTGCCTCCTCCGCCTCGTCCTCCTCGTCATCGCCGTAGTCGGACACCTCGACCTCCTCGTCCACCTATTCACAGCTGCAGCTATGGAGGGACGCCGTTCACACCCACGGCCCGGTGAGTCCTCCTCGTCCACCATGTCGTACTCCGGCTTGAGCGGCCCGCCGCCGCGCAAGCCACGCTCGAGCTCCAGCGCCACCTGCTCGACCGCCTTCGGGTCGTGCAAGGGCCGGCGCCGCCACTTGCGCTCGCGGATCGCCGCCATCGGCGGCGTGAGCCCGTCCCGTTGCTCCGTCCCCGCGGGCAGCTCCTCCCTCGACTTGGCCACCACGAGCACCTGCCCGATCTTGCGCGACTCATAGTACACCTCGCCCGCCGGGTCGACCGACTTCTTGGACTCCACGACGGTCGGGAGCGACATGAGCTTGGCGAAGAACTCGTGGCCGGCCACGCAGAACCGCGCCGTCTCGCCGCACGGCGGCGGCACCGGTGCTCCGTCGGGGAGCGGGTCCCACCGGATCTCCATGTGTGGCGGCGGATCCGCCTCGAGGAGCTCTGCCACTTCGTCGGGCAGATCGAGGACGATTTGCGTCTCGTGCGACATCGCGGCGCTCAGACTGGACTCCTCTTGGCCCCTTCTGATGCCGTAGGCCTTACCTTGGGTCGTTCGTTTGCCGGAGCAACAGCACGGATCTGGCTCGACACCTGAACCGAAATCAGGCAGCAAGAAAAGAATTCTAAAACAATCGGCACGACAAGGGCGCGAACTGGCGCGGACTGGCACACACACCGGCTCACCAAGAAAATAACACCTGTGACAGCCCCCGATAGGGCTGCCCCGACCGAGGTGTGTGTGTGTGTTTGTGTATATGGGCGTCTGCGTTGACAGAACCGGAGACTCCATGCAGCCTCACATCCAGGCTAGCGCACTGGCATTCTCTCTTGCGCCTTGCAGGATCTCCCGGTTGTCGGAATGTGTGAGAGAGATTTTGAAAACCAACAAGAAATCACGACTCTCACAGTGATTTGGGCTCGGCAGCTTGTCAGCCCTCAGCCGAAAAGCTGGGGCCGGTGTCCCGTAGCCGAGAGAGCCCGCGCCGTTGAGTTCGGGCCTTGCGGAGAGGCCACAGCGAGATGGCGATCGCTGTACTTCATGTGTGAGTATGGGCGTGTCAGGCATGACCTGACGAGTGATAGTGTGCTCCACAAAGGGCTGACGCGACCAGTCACACACTCCCACCACACATCAGACATCATCTGGTTCTCGCTCTGCGCTACTGCGCCGCTGCCCGCCCGCCCCCCTGGCCCTGCCGATGCGCGATGGCAATCCGGTGCTGGGCGCGCGGCCATCGATCCAGAAAATCGTGGCAGCCACCCCAGTCGTCCCCACCAGTCTCGCTCCCAAAAGGTGAACCAGAAACAGCTGCTGTGGTGAAAAGTGGGTCCAGGGCGTGAGCCCTGGCGGGGTGCGGGGCGGAGCCCCGCGACGAGAATTTGGGGTTCCCTATGGGATGTCATCTTTTTTTAGCTAAAAATTACGACAAATCACAGTGACTCAGATGCAGTACTCACTTGCTCTCATTCAGCAGAGCGGGTTGTACTGTGCCGTAGCTACGAAAGTGTGAACAGGTTGGCGAGCAGCAGCTCCTGAACTCGGCGCCGCAGGCGCCTGTTGATTGGTCCAGGTGATAGCCCTGGATGGGCAATGCATACGCCTAGTTGGGCCTCAGATCGCCCGACCGCGTCCCGGTGCTCTGTGGTCGGATTTGTGACGCCGCCGCACCGCGCCGCGGCCGGGGGCCCTCCGGAGGCCAAGGATGGCCGTGGCGGACCGGGACAAGCTCTGGAAGGTAAAGTGTCAGTGAGTGTATTGGAGAGACTGACCATGTGCACAATATCTCTCAGTCTAGCTAAGCCCAGGAGAGGCGATGCCGGGGCCGTACAGCAGCTTGATGGTGCTTCGCCGGCGTGCGTCCCGGCGCGGTGCCGGACGGGCGGTCCGGGGGACAAAATCGGGAACGCGCGGTGGTCCACCAACGGAAATCATAGGGCTGTGCTGGGGGCCCGGCCCCAAGCTCAAGTCCGTTGAGTTTTCCGGTGGACCATCAGTGTATACCGAGACAATATTTTTCTCTTTTTTAGGATTTCACTCTGTCGCTGACGCTGTGCACCTTTTGGGAGCGAGACTGCCACACATGAGACATGAGCGTCACCCTGGACTTGGTCGCAAGTTTTTTTCACGCCGTGTGCCGGCATGAGAGATGATTAATCTGCCTTCACAAGGCTCAAGGGGGGGGGGGCGACGTTGTCACCCGTCACACTTTTTACCCACTCACCTCGCGGTCCAATCTTCCCGCGTCGACCTCGTCCGGCGGTCGCGCAGGCGCCTAGATTCGGTACTTCAGCTTGGTACTTTTAGCTTATAGTATCATTGTACCCCAGATCATACCCCAGGGCTATACCCTGATACCCTCTTGAGAGGACCCGCATTGGGCCCCTAGAGGATAGGTTGATACCCTTCACACGTGGGTTACCCTTCACACCGGACACGACCCCCCTCTTCACACCTCTTCTCGCGCTGCGCGCGCGCCGAGACAGACAACGCGCCCGAATGAGCGTCGCGCAGGAGGGAGGCGAGCGCACCACTAACCGTAAGAGCAATGCGCTGGGCGAGGAGGGCGGCAACTGCGGCCGTCGTCGCATTGGACGCTCGGGCCTGCGGCCGCAGGGCCGGCTAGCGGGCTAGGCAGCCGGTGCGGCTGCAGCCGCGGGAGCGGCCGCGGCCTCGATGTCATTGCCTTCCGCCTCGAGCATAATCGCTGGGAGAGTCACCTGGCAACGTTGGTCGTTCCCTAGGATATTCCGAGCGTTCGTCGTGCGAAATCGATGCCGGTTGCCGCCTGCTTTGACGGCTATGTAATCCATGATGGGACTGTCACAGCTCGCTACTGCCTTCTTCAGAAGAGCAAATGATTCGGCGGATAGCGTTTGCTCCAGCTGCAGCCTGCGACGAGACCATTTCGGTATATGGTTGGTTAGTTCGGCGGAAGCGCAAGAAGAGTAAAAACGAAATCGTCGGCAAAAGCCTTTGCCCGAGCTTACCACACATACCGCCTGCAAGAGCCCTTTGAGGCCTGCAAGCCGCCCGGGCGGACCAACTTCTTAAATTACAACTACTGCTTCTGCCGCTGCTTCCAACTGCTGAAGGTCGAGCAGTTCAGCATGTTCTTCCCGCTGATCAACATCAAGTCTCCCCTCCTGGCTACTTCCACCTGTGGGGCGTGGGGGGGGCCGCGCCTCGGGGTCGGGCCTCGCATCACGCATGATATAACGGAAGTCGCATGCGATTTTTTGTGAGCTCACCCTGTGTAGTGACTCGTGTGTACTCGCCGGGGGAGCGCCGCAGACGCGCGCGCAGACCTGGCGCAGACACCAGACTCCGCACGAGATCCTCTCACGCATGGCGGGAAAACAGTGCACGCGAGCCCAGAGCCGGCACGCAATAAGAGGCAGCACTCGACACACCCGTGTCGAGACGAGCAGGGGCGGCAGGCCGCGATGGCGATCCAGGGTGCGTGTGCATTACGCTGCGGCTGCTGCAGCCTCCTCGCCGGCCGATTCGGCAATACTCTCGGGCACGGAGGTGACGGACTCGCGCTCCGCGTCCGGCTTGGACGCAGTGCTGTCCCGCGCCGCGTCTGGCTTGGCTGCCGCCGCCGGCTTCGCTGCCCTAGAGGTTCGCGACTCGCGGATGGCCTTGGCGCGCGCGAGCGCCGAGCTCTTTCCTCCGATGGCTCCGAGCACAGCAATCTCGATCGGAGGCTGCGACGGCAGCGGTAGGGAAGGGGGCGGGGATTGGTGAGAGGGGAGGAGCAAGTTGGTGGGCGAGGCGGCGTGCGATCTCGGGTGATCTCGCGTCTGCTATTGGGCGATCTCACGTGTGTGTGGTCTCTTGTGATTTTGCGTGTGGTCCGGGCGTGATCTCGGGCGCACCCCGACCAGCATCAGCAGCTTCTTGGCCGCCTCGCCCTCGGGCAGCTTGTTCGCGCCCTCGGTGAGGGCATGCCGCTCCGCTAAGCTCTCAATATCCTCACGCTTCGCGAGGGCAATGCTGCGCAGAGGCTCGGCCACGCTCTCCGGCTTGAGCAGCGCAGTCAGCACCGCAGCGACCCCCACGTACTGCTTCTCGGAGCCCTTGAGCATGCCAAACCCCTTGGAGCCCACCACCATCCGAAGGCCACCGCACTCGCCCGACTGCGGCAGCTCGCCCGGCGTGTGCGGCTGAAGCGCGACCGACTGGCGGCCAGCATCGCTGCTGGCGGCGGCCGCCGCCGGGGCGGATGCTGCAGGGGCTGCAGCGCCGCCTCCCTTCTTCTTCTTCGACGCCGACTCGCACTTGGACCGGATGCACTGCAGCAGGCTGCTCATGCGCGCAGCGACAGGAGAGAATTGCCGACGGGAGAGGGGAGAGGGAGAGGGAGGGCGGCGACGGCGGCGGCGGCTTCCCGTCCAGAAAGGACTCGGCGAAAGAATTTTACCCGCGAAAAGAAAACGCACGGCCCCTCAGCGGAGCTGGGAAGAGGACCGCCGCAAGCGGCGTGGCGTGGAGCGGTTGTGCATCCCTCCGGGGGCCCCTCTGCGCCGGGGAGGCGTTGTTGGAGGCTAGGTAGGACGCAAGCGTCCGTCGCCCTTTTCAAACTCGGGGCCCACTCCGCTACGCTCGCTCCGACCCGAATTTGGAGGGCCATGAAGTTTAAGGTGTTGCTGCGCAAAAGGGGTCGGACACACACAGGGCGCAGCTGGAGACGCTCCCCCTCAATCGGCATCCACCCCGACCCGCTCCAGCCCCACTTCTGCTGCCGAGAGAGCTGAATCGAAGCAAGCGAGCCATTGCATCTTGGCGTGCTCCTGGAGCGCGGCTTTCTGCTTGGCGGCCACGAGCACGGCGGAGTCGGCGTCGTAGCGCGCATCGTTCCCGCTCATCGCCCATTCCTCCCACGTGACGTGTCGGCCGCGATTCGATGTCGCCACCTTCATCGCCAACGAGGACTCCCTCGACTGCAGGGGGGCTCCAGGGAGGGCCCCCCTCGGAGTGGGTGAGGAGACCGTGCGCGGAGCGGGGGGTTCCGAGTGGTGATGTCAGTGAGGAAATGTGTGTGTTGTCGTGCAGTGTCTGGTGTCTACTAGCCCCGAGTAGTAGAGGGGGCGTTCCGCTCAGCCTGCTAGGGGAAACCCGGAGCGCAGAGCCAACCCTCGGGGACCCGTGTTTACTTTACGGCCCTTTCCCTGCGAATGCGCACCCCCCCTAGCTAGGGGTCAGGGCTCTCTAGCCCGTAGCCCGATGCCGATCATCCGGCTCGCTGGGTGCGCTTCTTAGCTCCCTGGCCCTGGATGTGAGGTTAATGACTGCACTCCAAGTGCTCCAAAGTGCCCCACCCATCACCCATCACTCGAGCACCGGCACCGGCGCACCGGTCGGCGGGAACACAGCGGTGGGAACACAGCGCTGGAGCGGCCGCACATTGCTCGGTACCCCCCGCGCACATCTTGGCCGACTCCCCCCGGGGGGGGGGGGGGGGGGGGTCAGACCCCCCCTATTCCGCTGCACGGATGGTTTTAGATGTGCAGGGGGGGTACCGAGCAGTGAGAGTGTGCGGCCGCTGACACATTCTGCAGCATAGTAGCCAATTCGCAATTGGCGCTTGAATAGCGAAATAGCTGTGAGCTGAGTGTTAGAGTTGTTTGGTATTGAAAATCTCTCTCTCTCAAATCGTCGACCTGGGCCGGCGAGCTCGCGGCCGCCACACTCGCAGTTGCCCTCTGTTGACAATAACAAGGCTGTGAAGACGTTGTGTGAAGATGTCTGAGCTTGTGCGTCTTGGGGCCGGGTTTGTGTTTTTGATTGCAGAGTATTTACCGCGCAAGATATAAATAAAGGGTGTCCTAAGGGCTCTGCTCGCACAAGGCGCCCGCGTCGCAGACGCGGTACCATTGACAAATCTGCAATATACCCCCACACGAGCAAATAGCAAAATCCGAATACCGTGCACGAACTGCTGATGTGCGCCGGGCAAGCCTTCAGCTGGTGCCAAGACATCCGTAAAGTTGAAAGCAGAACGTGCGCCAAATCCGTGCTTTCGCGCGACTTGAGGGGAAGCCGCTGACGTGCCCGCGGCGCGCGGCCGCCTCCCGCGCAGCACCGCCGCTGCGGAATCGGATCGAGCCCATGGAGGAGGAGGGCGCAGTCGGCCAGCGCAGCAGGCGGAGTCCCTCCCCGCGCCGGAGCCCCCCTGCAGTCGAGGGAGTCCTCGTTGGCGATGAAGGTGGCGACATCGAATCGCGGCCGACACACGTCACGTGGGAGGAATGGGCGATGAGCGGGAACGATGCGCGCTACGACGCCGACTCCGCCGTGCTCGTGGCCGCCACGACGCCGACTCCGCCGTGCTCGTGGCCCCGCCAAGCAGAAAGCCGCGCTCCAGGAGCACGCCAAGATGCAATGTCGATTCAGCTCTCTCGGCAGCAGAAGTGGGGCTGGAGCGGGTGGGGGTGGATGCCGATTGAGGGGGAGCGTCTCCAGCTGCGCCCTGTGGCAGCTGCGCCCTGTGGCAGCTAGTCGAGGGACTTGGTAGTTGTGACCCCCCTGAGTGAGGACAGGAGAGAGACAGCGTTTTGTGGTGTTGGTGTACGCAATAACGGGACAGGGTGGTTGTTCTCTCTATCTCCTCTTCTAGCTCTTAGCATGAGCTGCGCCCGGTGTCCGACCCCTTTTGCGCAGCAACACCTTAAACTTTTAGGCCCTCCAAATTCTGGTCGGAGCGTACGTAGCGGAGTGGGCCCCGAGTTTGAAAAGGGCGACGGACGCTTGCGTCCTAGCCTCCAACAACGCCTCCCCGGCGCAGAGGGGCCCCCGGAGGGATGCACAACCGCTCCACGCCACGCCGCCGGCGGTCCTCTTCCCAGCTCCGCTGAGGGCCCGTGCGTTATTGCAGCGTAAAATTCTTTTCGCCGAGTCCTTTCTGGACGGGAAGCCGCCGCTCGCCGTCGCCGCCCTCCCTCTCCCTCTCCCCTCTCCCGTCGGCAATTCTCTCCTGTCGCTGCGCGCATGAGCAGCCTGCTGCAGTGCATCCGGTCCAAGTGCGAGTCGGCGTCGAAGAAGAAGAAGGGAGGCGGCGCTGCAGCCCCTGCAGCACCTCCGCCCCGGCGGCGGCCGCCGCCAGCAGCGATGCTGGCCGCCAGTCGGTCGCGCTTCAGCCGCACACGCCGGGCGAGCTCCTCATGTGTTTATCACAGTAGCCCGAGGGAGGGGGGGGGGCGGGCCTCACCCGGGACTCACCCCGAGACCCCACCCCGGGACGCGCCGGCTGCGGGTGAGGCCCCACCCCCGGGGCAGTGAGGGGCAGGGGCGGGGCGGAGCTCCTCAGAGTGAGGCGCCCCGGGTGCCCCCCCCCCCCCCTGGCCCCCCCCACCCCGCCCCCCGGCATCCGACCCGCCCATTCAGCTCTTTCGTACTTTCGTACGGAGCGTGGGTTTGCTTTTTCAAATTTTTAGGCGGGATTTGTGGTCTCGGAGATATCGTCTCTTACGACCCGGAGACGGGATATTACCATGTCACCTATGAGGACGGCGACAAGGAGGACCTCTCGCGAGCCGCTGTCCAGGCTGGCGTGCGGCGATTCCAGCAGGCCCAGGCAAAGTGACGCGATCCGTCTCGCCGAGGCGCGCTTTTTGCGTCCGCATCGGTAGATGGTAGAGATGTGCGTTTGGAGCAGTGCGGACTGTCTGAGTGTGCAGAATAGAGTGGGGTCACCCGTTTAGTTGATTTGTAGTTTGTGTTGTTCTGTGTGAGCGGTGGTGCCGCACGGGCCGCTCTCCCTCGCCTCGGGGCGTGGCGCTGGTGGGCCGGGGGCGCGCGGTAGGCGTACGGGGCCGCGTGCGCGTGGCCCGCCCGTAAGCGCCGTGTGGGGTGCCCTGGGGTCGGGCAGCGAGCTACCCCCCCGGGACGGCGCATCGCGAGTGAGGCCCCGGGGTGGGGCAGGTGAGGGAGGGGGCGGGGACGGCCGGGCCCCGGTGAGCCCTGGGTGAGGCCCGCCCCCCCCCCCCTCCCTCGGGCTACTGTGATAAACACATCAATAACAAGGCTGTGAAAGATGGACGCGGGACAAGGAGTAGCCCCAGGGCGGCCTCTTCCGATGAACGCCGCCTCCCACTCCGGTTGGCTCCTAAAGTCTCACAAGGGCGGCGAGGCGACCTCGGAGCGGCGCTTCTTCGTCTCGGAAGGCGCCGTGGTGTCTTACGGCCGGATGATTGGCTCCATCTTTGCTCCAACCGGAAAGGTTGACCTGAAAACTTGCACGGCGATGAGCGAGCCCGAGCCCGGGACCGTCGTGATCCAAGTGAGCGGCAAGCAGCATCCGTTGCGAGTGGCTCTCGGCCCCGATTCGGAAAAGTGGCGGACGCTGTGGGCATCGGCGGTCAGCGAGACGGCTCTGGATGCGGCGCTGCTCAGGTGGAGAGACGCATCGCTCGCTGCTCGGCTGGACAAGGGCTCCCGAAAACCCTCATCCAGGCCGCGGCTGGTCCTCGCCAAGTCGGGATCGAGGGTCGCTCCAAAGACGTCTGACGCCACTGCCCTAAAGTCTGCTCGCGGTGCCGCGCCCAAGACGTCCGGGCGCGAGCACTGGTCCGAATCGGCCTATCGAGTGCCAAAGCTGTCCATGGACGACGGCGCGCAGACGAGCGGTGGCGACCTCACCTCGCGGACCGACGTGGACGACACGGAGCGAAACGTCGCCGCTCCGCGGGCGGGAGGCGGGGAGGCGGGTGGCGGCGAGCCGACCGAGGCGGAGCTCGAGGCGGCGCGGGCCGAGTGGCTGAGCTACTTCCTCAAGGCGGAGCTCTTCCAGAACGCGCTGCTGCTCGCCGTGTCGGAAGAGGAGGAGCGGGGCATCAGGGAGGCCATGTTCGCCGTGTACGAGCCGCGGAGGCTGCAGTGGCTCCAGTACCACACGGCGCGAGGCAACTACGACGAGGCGATCGAGCTCGTCGCCGACCAGGCCGAGAGGGAGGAGCTGGCCGCTCGGCGGAGGGCCGCGGAGCAGAGCAGCGTCTGGACCAGGTGCTGCGTGGCCGCGCAACCGCGTGAGCGAAAAACTGAAGGGAGTTCGTGTTCCGCCGATTGCCTCGCGCGTCGCGTCTAGACTACTAGAGCATGGTGCTTGGTCGGACTTGGCTCTCTTGGCTCTTGGGCCGCCCCGCGCGCCGCTTGCGGCGACTTGCTTCTTATACGAATACGTTTCACCCGCGACCCTAAGCCTAGCACGATCGGATAGATCGCGATTTTTTTCGAGCTCAGACGATGGCAGCGAGCGACCTTTTGCCTGCGCCAGCCGTAACTCGGCCTCTGGCCGCCGACAGCAGCGCCCAACTCGGGGTCTGGGGCGGAGCCCCAGCCTGGGGTCTGAGGCTGGCAGCCCCAGCGGGGTGCGGGGCAGAGCCCCGCGAAGAAAATTTCGCATTTTTAGCACGGCGACGGTTACCCGACCTCGCTCCTCGGACGGACCGGTGTGCCACAGAGTGGTACCAGGGTGCAGGCATGAATGGGTCTGACCTCGAAAAAAATCGCGATATAGGTACACCTCAAAAGCACCCTCAATGGACTCTCCCTCGGGAATAACGCATATGCCTGCGGGCCACAGCTCACAGTTCACTCTTCAGGACAGAGCTCTGCGGCGTGTCACTCTCTGCGCTCACGCACGATCGCGCACACTTGTCGCATCCCCTCCCGCCGCGATCGCAAGACTCAGTACACAAACCCGCGTCGAGGGCCGCGCCCGTCGTACTCGGAGTTCAAACAGCTTGCAAGCACATGCACATGACGCCACTAATTTCCTCTCCTCTACTCGGGTTGCGCTGCCGGGGGCCCGCTGGCACGAAGCGGCGGCAAAGCGTCGAGCGCGTGATCTGCGACTGTCGCGAGAGAGGAGAAGTAGGTGTTGACCGCGTGCTCGAGCTCGGCGCGCTTCGGCGCCCCGGGCTGCCCGCCCCACCCCTGCGCGTCAGCGGGAGTGCCCGACCGCTCGAGCGACCGCTGCCGCGAGAGCGAGAGCGGCGGGAGGGAGGAGGAGGCGCCGCAACTCGCACCACCTCCGACCGGCCCTCCTCCGCCGCCTCCAAGCCCGGCGGCACCGACTCCGGCGGCGGCGGCGGCGGAGGGCAGAAGGAGTGCGGACGCGTCGGCGCCCCGCGCGCGCTTCTCGGGCCTCGCCAGACCGTCGCGCAGCAGGCCGATGTGAGACTGCCACGGCGCGCGGGGCTCTCCGGCGGCGCCGCTGCGGGACGTCATCGAGAGGAGCGACTCGAGGTTGTTTCGCAGCGGGCCGACCCCGTCGGAGCGGGTCGAGATGGTTGACCGGCCGGGCGATGCGGGCCGCGAGGGCGTGCGCGAAGAGACCCTCGAAGGCCGAAGAGGCTCGAGGCTCGAGCCGCCCGCGCCGCCGCCGCCTCCGCCGGCGGTGATCCCTCCGCCGGCTGGCCCGGTGATCGGGGTGCCGTCGGGGAGGGTGGCGGCGGGCAGCGAGGCGGGCTGGAGCAGGGAGGCTTGGATGGCGGCCGCTTGGTCGAGCGGCAGCATCGTCAGCATCAGCTGCGTCACGCGCACCGTGTCGAAGCGCTGCCGGAACTCCTCGCGCTGCGCCTCGTCGATCTCCCGCTCGAGGCGCTGCACCTCCTGGGCTAGGCCCCAAAGGCGGGCACGCTCCTACGGAATGAAAACACGAACTCGTCACAAACATCTTTGCAGTCAGCAGGACCCCGAGGCGGCACGCTCCTCCGCGAGCATCGCTTGCAGTGAGGCGGTCTTCGGCGCGGACGCCAGCGCCAGGCGCGACTCGCCTGATTCATACAAGACGATGTTCATGTGGTCATCATATTATAGGACGCCAGCGCCAGGCGCGACTCGCCGGCGGCAGGCGCTGCGCTGCTGCTCGCGCGGCCACTCCGCCCCGTCGCCTTGCGGGAGATCTCCTTGAGCAAGTCAGGCCGCCCGCGCACGAAGCAGGGATGGCTCCACGCACCGGTGCCAACCTAAGGCACGGTGGGTGGGCGTCCAAAGCAACAGCCCCGCGCCCTTCCAAGTGCACGCCCCGGTGGCGGGGCGGTGAGGATATCATCATCATACTGAGAGCAGCAAGCGCGTGGTGAGCGGCGCACGCCTTTTTGAAGCCGTACGCGTTGAGCACGCGCACCCAGGAGCTGTACTGTGAGCGGCGGAAGTAGGTGGGCAGGACGTGCGACGCCAGCCGCTCCGGGTTGGTGACGACGATCGTCGTGCCGTCGGGCGACCAGCCGATGTGCTCGTGGCCCGCGTTGACCATCTCCCACGTCCACGACACGAAGTCCGCGGCGCCGTGCTGCGCCGGGCGCTTGACGAACGCGGCTGGCTGCTGTGCGGGGGACGCCATGACCAGCGCCTTGAGCGTCGTGTTCACCTGGAGGTCACACCGAAGAAGGGCTTCCCGGGCTGCTCTTGCCGCGCCGCAGAACCCAGCAAAAAAAATTTTTGCCAAAGAATTAGCCCAGATCGCGCCGATCGCGCCCGTCGTCGAGTCCGCGCCGTTGCGGAGTACCGTGCACGGAGGCTGCGCAACCGGTACAGCTCCTGGATGTGTGTATATATGGGAGCGAGCGTGAGCGCCTCCCACGCCGAGGAGGAGGCGCTCATGGAGGCGGTGTGTGAGGGCGATGTCGAGGCCGTGAATCAGCTCATCGCGAAGGGTGTCGACCTCGACTGCTTCGACGACGAGCAGTCCCGGCCGCTGCACGTCGCCGCGCACCTAGGCCACGCCGCCGTGGCGTCGGCGCTTATCGCCGCGGGCGCAGACTTGGAGTCGAAAGGGCAGCTCGAGGGCACGCCCTTGCACGCCGCCGCGTCCGGCAATGAGAGCGGGCTCGCCGCGCTCCTGCTGGATGCGCAGGCTTGCGTCGACGCGCGCGACGAGTCCGGACTGACCCCACTGCACCGCGCCGCGCAACGGCGCCGTGCTCGTGGCGCGCCTCTCGCCGTGCCACGCCCGCGTCTCACAGCCCTGCTTCGCCCTGCCGCGCCACCTCAGGGCCTCCTCTGCGCGGCTCGCTGCGCTGCTCCTCGAGCGCGGCGCGGCTCTTGAGGCGCGGAACGTGGACGAGTACACGCCGCTGCACGTGGCCGCTATGTGCGGCCAGGCCGAGCTCCTGTGCGGACCACACCGCCGCGCCACCATGCCTGCAGCTCCTCCCGCCACCTGCAGCTGCTCCCCTCCCGCCTCCCCGCCTCCCCGCCGTCGCCCCAGCGCCGCCCACCCTCTCGTGCGCAGGGGCGTGCTGCTCGACCGAGGCGCGTCGCCGGCGGCGCGCACGCTGCAGGGCGACGCGCCGCTCGACCTGCTCCGGCGGTGCGGCGACCGGGGCGGCGGAGGAGCAGCAAGCCCCGCTCTCGCCGAGGCGATTCGGCGGCTAGAGGCGGCGGCCGAGCGGGCCGCCGGCGCAGGGTCAGAAAAGTAATATATCTTTACTTCCAACACCCGGACGTTCCCAGGGTGATGGAAGGTTCGACGCACCCCCGGACTGGGCGGAGAGATCCCAGGGTATAGGCTAGTTCCATTTCACTGTGGCACAGCGCTCGCGTTACAAAACCTTGATTTTGACCATTTGCGCACTATTGTACCTCTCGGTGCCTTCCAGAGGCAGCTGCGACCCCGCCGAGTGGACGGCGTCACACAGCAGGTGCCGACGTGACTCACCCGCTCCTTTGACGCCGACGTGACTCACCCGTGCAGACCACATCAGCACACGGTCTCGACGCGCTCGGTACGACGCCTGCAACGGTGGGAGAAGGACAGGGTCCCCACCTGCACGAGCAGGATCTTGTAAGGACGATCAGGGACACAGGGGAACGGGAGCGGGGAGCGCATCGCGACTCGGAGGGGGGCTGGGCAGGGTTCACCTTGCTGACACGCAGGCTAGGCTGACGTATTTCTCCTTTCCCAGCCCGCTTGACGCCGTGTAAATGGCATCCTCGGTTGTGAGCGGGCGGCAGTTGGAGAAGTGGGAGAAGGAGCGGGAGGATGCGAACCGCACCGAGATCCCGATGCCCAAAGCCGCACGCGACTCCTTCAACTCGATGCAGCCCAACTTCAACGCGCTCGCAAAGTTCGAGAAGAAGCTCGACCGCTTCACGCAGCGGATGGAGGACAAGGACAGCGGGGTCAAGACGGAGGCGATCGTCAACGTGATGAGCTCGACGGCCGGCGCCGGCTCGGGCGACTTCCACACCTACCGCGGCTTCCGCAAGAAGGAGAATGCGCGGATCGCAGACTTTGAGGCGGCGCGCAAGGAGGACGAGGCGCGGCGTGCGTGGGAGGCGGAGCAGGCGGAGCGGGAGGCGGATGTACTGGCCAAGCGGTCGAAGAAGGCCGCCAAGCGCGCCCGTCAAAAGGAGAAGGAGCGCGAGCGGCAGCAGGCCGAAAAGCGCGCGCGTGGGGAGGCGTCGGCAGCGGCGGGCGGCGCAGCGGCGGGGGAGGAGGGCGCGGGCGGCGGCGGTGGCGAGGCACCGGCCGCCGCGGGCAGCAGTTGACCCCGCCCAACCCAACACATAACTTTATCGCCCGCTTGTGTCACTTTTTGGTATGTGTCGTCCGGGAGACCTCTTATCTCTGTCCCCTCTTGAGCCAGACCGGAGCTCTTGCAATCTCGGCAGGTGAGCTCGGCAGTTTGCCTCCGCCGCATTCCGGCCGCCGCCCCCAGATGCTCGTGTGCGATTGCGGCGGCTAGGAGGCCCTCCCCTATCTGTGTCCGTCTCTGCACCTCGGGTCACCGGTCGTCGTCCCCGCTAAAGTACGTTTTCCACACCCCGAACTGGTGGGCGGTACGGAGTAAGTGTGGGGGGCGCGCGTGCCCGGCACAAAACTCAAATGTCAAACGCATTCGTAGTCGTAAGACGTAACATGCCGCAGGCAGCGAGCCGTTACCAGAGGCGTGTCGCTCCGTGAAAAGGAATAAACGCTATACAGAGGTGGACTCCACTCTGCGCCTGTTACCACTCACGAGCACGACACGCGTGAGGGGAGCGCGCGGCCTCTCGGTCTCGGTACCAGCCAAAGCGGACCGTCGTAGAGTACATCCGAGAGTGATGCAACGGGTGGCATCCACGACCGTGGGTCGACCTCGCTCTCATTCGCCAAAGTAGCCCGCCGCCGCGGCCGCGCGCCGCTGCCGCGGCGCGACGCCCATCAAGCTCAGCGACCTATGCACAGCCTTGCGAGGTGGGCGCGCGTTTCTCTTTGTCGGCCCGCGAGGCGGCGACATCTCGGCGACGTCTCGCAGCGCGGGCAGACGCCCTCGTACGTCTGCGACTGCTCCTGCGGGTCGAAGTGCCTGTATACAACAACAGGTAAGGAGGCGGACGGGGGGCGGCGGGGGGCGGGGGGTAAGAAACCCGGGGGGGGGAGGGGGGGGGGGGGGGGCGTGCAGAGTGTGTGTGTGTGCGCGCGCGCGCGCAGGGTCAGGTCGCAGTTTCGTCAAGGCCCAACGCACCAGCAGCGCTCGCACTTTGTCCCGTCGGCGGCGGCGATGCCGACGGTCGCGGCGGGGCCTTCTTCGCGCGCCGAGGAGAAGAGGGACCGCTCCGTCACCTAGGAAGTGTCTCGCCAGTGTCTCGGGAGTGTCCGAGGAGGGTTGCCTCGCGGTGGCCTAGGAAGTGTCTAGGAAGTGTCTCGCAAGTGTCTAGGAGAAGAGAAGAGCGACCGCTCATTGAAGAGCGACCGCTCATTCACCGCCGGTGTTAATGCGCTAGCCTCGAGGCGGGAGCACGGCGTTGCGAAGTGGAAGGGCTATGAATACAGCTGAGAATACGGCTGCACACAGCTGAGCACGCCTCCTCTCGAGTGCTATGGGAGAGAGGAAGACGTGTTCCGCTTCTAGGCTCATTCACTTCCGTGGCGGAGGCAACTAGCTCGACCTAAAGGTAGGGTAAGGTAGGGTCAGGTAGGGTCAGCTTCTCCACACACATACGGGGTGGTGGTGGGGAAAGGGCCAGGCTAGTCCCTCGCGACTCCACGTCTAGACGACAGGAGCCCCACGGCATTGAAAGTGCAAGGCCCGGAGGGCGTGGGCAAGCGGTGTGTGTGTGTGTGTGTGTGTGTGTGTGTGTGTGTGTGTGTGTGTGTGTGTGTGTGTGTGTGTGTGTGTGTGTGTGTGTGTGTGTGTGTGTGTAGCTCAACCTGCGAGGTCAGAAAGAGGAAGCGCAGCTCGTCGACGCCGTTGCTTGCGCCCGACCAGCGCGCGAGGGCTTCTGACACCGCCGGGTCCGCGCAGTGCAGCAACACCTTGGCCTCCAGCGACGCGCCCAACGCCTTCTCCGCGCGCGCGAGCTCAAGGTTCCGGTTCACCTGAAAAACGAAACCCGCGTGTGCAAACAAGAACTCGGCGCGCCGGCCGAGCTCTCGAGGTTGCGGGCTCACCTGCCGCAGCAGCAGCCGGTTCATAATTAAGGAGCGTGAACCACGCGGCTGATTCACCTCGATCAACTCACCTCGTCGCGCAGCGAGCGCACCGCCGCCCACGCCGCGCGACCGCGCCGCTCCTCGCCCTGTGCCGGCGCCGCCGCCGGCCAGCCCGCCTCGAAAACGGACGCGTGCGGCGTCGCGTAGGGAAGGTTCTGGTAAATGTCCTCGGCCAGGTGCGGAAGCACGGGCGCGGCGGCGGCGGCGACGGACTCCACGACGCGGGAGAGGACCGTCTGGCAGGAGCGGCGGCGTGGCTCGTCGGGCGCCGCGATGTAGAGCCGGTCCTGACCAGTGAAGAAGGAGCGATGAGTGACCGAGTAGTGGCTCGGAGGGCGGCGCGGTGCGGGAGCCCGTCCTTGGACACGTCGAGGTAGAAGTTGGACAGGTCCGAGACGAGGAACTGCTGGAGCGCGCCGACCGCGCGCGAGAAGGAGTAGGCGTCGTACGCCGCGCGCACCTGGGTGAGGTCAGGTCAGGGAAACGTCTAGGAAACTTCTCCACACGGTGGCGGTGGCGCAAGGGGGGGGCCTCCGCGGCTCCACGTCTAGACGACAGGAGCCCGACGGCGTTCAAAGAGCAAGGCGCGGTGCGCGTGGGTGAGCGGTGAGTGTGTGTGTGTGTGCGCGCGCGCGTGCGTGCGTGCGTGCGTGCGTGCGTGCGTGCGCGCGCGCGTGCGTGCATGCGTGCGTGCGTGCGTGCGTGCGTGCGTGTGTGTGCGTGTGCGTGCGTGTGCGTGTGCGTGCGTGTGCGTGTGCACCTCCGCCAGCAGGCCGTCCAGCAGGCCGAGCACGTACACGTCGAGCTCGGGCAGCTCCGCGAGCGGCACGGCGTCGACGGCGGGGTCGAAGTCGTGCAAGTTGCCGAGGAGGAATCGGGCCGTGTTGCGCATCTTGCGGTACGCCTCGAAGGTCTGCTTGATGATGGAGTCGCCGATGCAGACGTCCGCAGCGTAGTTTGACGACGCGACCCAGAGCCGCAGCACGTCGGCGCCGTACGCGGGCTGAGCCTTGAGGTTCTTGCCGCCGTCGGTGATCAGCTTAGGGTCGACGACGTTCCCGAGCGACTTTGACATCTTGAAGCCCTTCTCGTCGAGGACGAAGCCGTGCGTGAGCACAGCCTTATACGGCGCCTGGAGAGCAAAAGAAACGAGGTCCGCGGCGTCCCGGAAGTGTCTCGGACAAGGCCTTTGTCCGGCGCCTGGCCACGCGACGCCACTGACGTGAGCAGCGACGACTGGAACCAGCCTCGGTGCTGGTCCGAGCCCTCGAGGTAGAGGTCGGCGGGGTAGCGCAGCCCCTCCCGCGCCTCCGCCACCGAGGCCCAAGACGAGCCAGAGTCGAACCAGACGTCCATCGTGTCGGTCCCCTTGCGCCAGCGGCCCGCGTCCGAAGCGTACGGCTCGGGCAGCAGCTCCGCCTCGGTCGACGTCCACCAGACGTCGGTCCCGTGCTCTGCAACTAGCCTCTGCACGTGCGAAAGCGTCTCCTCGTTGAGGAGAGGCTCGTCGGTCTGCCGGTCGTAGAACACCGGGATCGGGACGCCCCAAGTGCGCTGCCGCGAGATGCACCAGTCGGAGCGAGACTGCGTCATCGCGGTGATGCGCCGCTCGCCGACCGCTGGCAGCCACTCTGTCTCGCCGATTGCGGCGAGGGCGCCGTCGCGGAACCCGTCGACCGACGCAAACCACTGCGACGTGGCGCGAAAGATGGTTGGCTTCTTCGTCCTCCAGTCGTACGGGTACTTGTGCTGGTACGGATCGACGCTGAGCAAGTTGCCGCTCGTCTTGAGCTTCTCGATGACCGCCGTGTTGCCGTCGCCGAGCACATTCAAGCCTGCGAGGCCGTCTCCAGCCTCATCGGTGAACCGCCCCGCGTCGTCCACGGGCGAGAGCAGCTCGAGGCCGTACTTGAGGCCCGTCTGGTAGTCCTCCTGACCGTGGCCCGGCGCCTATCCACGAATCCGTTCATTGTCGTGATCGAGGCGCTGTCTGGTAGTCCTCCTAGCCCGTGTGGCCCACAAGGGCGCCGTGTGGACAAGGCCGGTGCCGGACTCTGTTGTGATGTAGTCGCCGCCCTCCACAACCATCGAGCTGCGCCCCGCCAGCGGGTGCGTGTACGTGGTGCCCACCTGTCGGAGCAGGTAAGCCAGTTGTGAGGTCAACTTCGCCACGCACACGAGGTGGTGCGGGAAGGGCAAAGGCCATCCCTCGCGACTCCACGTCTAAAAGACAGGAGCCCCACGGCATTGAAAGTGAAAGGGCCGGTGCGCGTGGCAATGAGTGAGTCCGTGGGAGGGGTGTGTGTGCGAGGGTGAGTGCCCCATCCTCCTTGCCCTTGGACTGTGCAACACTGACTGACTGCCGAATTCGGCGAGCGGGTGCGTGTGTACGTGGCGGCGCCCACCAGCTCGCTGCCCTTGAGGGTCGCCACCACCTGTTCACACCGCCACTCGTGTGAAGAGACGCCGTTCACCGCCTCGCCGCCCTTGAGGGTTGCCCGCCACCTCCAGCGCCTCTCCCTCGCCCAAGCCAAGCTTTGAGGTGAGCGACCCAACCAGCTCCTAACGGTCTGAACACCCAAGGTCCAGGTGTGCAGATTCGTCTCGCGCCTTGCAGCGCCTCAAAAAGGGAAATGCGACGGATGCTGTGAGAGCCGCGGGATGCCGCGCAACGCAGTTGAGTGCAAGCGGTGTGCATGCGTGCGCTCTCCAGTGCGAGACTGAGAGCTCCGATCTGTAGTCCGCATCTGACGGTCTTGTCTTGTGTGGTCTGCGTGCCGCTCCAGTGGCCGTCATCGGCCTCGCGCGTCCACCCACACCACGCTGGTGTCCCAATCGCTGGTCTGACTGCGTCTCGCCTCCTTGTCCTTGTCCACCCACACCACGCTGGTGTCCCAATCGCTGGTCTGACTGCGTCCCGCCTCCTTGCTTGCTTCCTTTCCGCATCTAGCGCTCCGCTCCGTCGCGACCAGCAGCCGGCCGCCTCCCGCGCTCTGCGGGGCGGCGACGACGGAGTAGTCGAGGTTGGCGTTGACGGCGACCTAACGGTGTGCGAACAAAGAAGTACGCACACACGGACACCTCGAAAATGCGGCTCTGCAGCAACGCGGCGGTGGTCGTAGTGTCGTGAAGACGGGACCGCGGCGGTACATCCATAGCACCGCGCGAACACACAAAGCTAAGAGTGATGCTCGGACGAGAGCGCGTCTGCCTGCCGGCATCTACGGGCCGGTACCGCGAGGTTCGCGGGGATGGTCCACGGCGTGGTGGTCCAGATAGCGATGCGGAGGCCTGCTCACATGCTCCGGCGTGACTTCGATGCAAGCCAGGCTAGACCAAGTCACACAAGCTGCGCTGTGAAGAGATGAGTGGAGGCGTGCGGATGGCGATCTGCCAGGAGGCTCCAGACTCTCAGAGATCGGCCTCATCTCGGCTCAATCTCGCTGCGATCTCGGCTGCATCTCGCCTTCCGGGCCGTATGGCGCGAGACTCTCGCTGACGCTCTCTGCGTCGAAGGCAACGTAGATGGACTGAGAGGTGTGCCTGTTCACGGCAGCGGGTGTGAAGAAGTCAGGTGCGTGAAACCGAAGCGTAGCTGGACTGAGAGGTGTGCGCCTGTTCACGGCAGCCGGTGTGATCAGACGCCGTTCACAGCGGGTGGGCGGCATCGCAAACGGAGAGCTGTAACCCCTCCGGGTACTCCAACTCCGCCTATCACAGACATGCATGGGCGAGTGAAGAACTATTACTGATCTAGAGCGCTGCACTCCTCCGGATGCCGAGACCTCTGCCAGCGCGGTGCGAGAGGACGGCGACCAGTGCACCTGTTCACACGACCAGGTGTGAAGAGACGCCGTTCACAGCGGTGCGAAAGGGACGGCGACCAGAGGGCGCCGGCTTTCGGCCGCGGTAGATGTGGCCTGCGTCATGAAAGCACCGAAATCAGGGTGCGAATACGGCGTTGTGCAATGTGCACTCACCACATAGAACATCGCATGACCGCACGGGGGCTACGACTGCCGTGAGTACGACTGAATGCGACTGAATGCGGCGGAGTACGGTGGGATCCGTGTCCCCTGGAGCGCTGGCTGGAGTCAAACAATGCGAACAGTCACTCAGCTTCTACCGGAGGAGGCCCTGCAGGAACATCGCCCCAAACACTCCCAGCTGCGCCGCCTGTGGGGAGAGGTGTGGAACGCTGCTGCGGCCGAATAGCGAAGCGAGACGATCTGGGCGAACCTGGGCAGATCTCGGCTCCTCTCGGCTCCTCTCGGCCCATCTCGCCTCGTATTCTGGCTGCAGGGTGAGGTAGGGCGCAGACCAGTCCGCCCAGACGCCCCACCTACGGCCGCCAACAAGTAGCAGTTCGCCCTGGGACGGCTGAGCGAAAGCCGATCCGCCCGCAGCTGGCACCGCTGGAAGGAGGTTCGCTGCTTGTCGACCGTCTCCCGCGCAAAGGCGGCCGCCTTGGGCAAGGGGAGGCCCGGGCAAGAACATGCACATCGCCCGCCTTGAGGTTCTGTGCGTGTGTGTGTGTCTGTGTCTGTGTCTGTGTCTGTGTCCCTGTCTCTTAGAGACGTGGACTTTGCTGTGTGTGTGTGTGTGTGCAGTGTGTGTGTGTGTGTGTGTGTGTGTGTGTGGAGAGTGTGTGTGTGTGTGTGTGTGTGTGTGTGTGTGTGTGTGTGTGTGTGTGTGTGTGTGTGTGTGTGTGTGTGTGTGTGTGTGTGTGTGTGTGTGTGTGTGTGGAGTGTGGCCACCTTCTTCCGCAGATCGATCGGCGTCAGCGCCTGCCGCTCCTACACGAAGGTTCCGAGAAGGTTCGGCACGGAAGGCTCTCGAGAGACGGCTCCTGTGAGCGAGATTGTAATCTCGCGCTAGAAGGCTCTCGGCACGCCTTGGACTTCATCGACTGGAGGACCTGGCAGGAGGGGGCGGCACGGAGCGGGGTGAGAGGGGGCTGGGGCGTGTCGAGCGGCTGCAGGAGGGGAGCGAAGAGGCGGCAGGGAGGAGAGAGGCGGCGGCGGCGGCGAGCAGAGCGGCAGCGAGAGGAGAGCAGAGGAGAGCGGCGGCGGATTCACCTTGAGCTCGATCGGGAGGCCGTGGCAGTCCCAGCCGGGCACGAAGCGCGCCTTGCGGCCGCGCAGCAGCTGGTACTTGTTGATGACGTCCTTGAGCACTTTGTTGAGCGCGTGGCCGATGTGGAGGTCGCCGTTGGCGTACGGCGGGCCGTCGTGCAGCGTGAATGGCTCGCCGGGATTGGTCTCGCAGAGGCGCTCGTAGACGCGCTTCTCGGACCAAAACTGCTGCAGCTCCGGCTCCCGCGTCGCCGCCATCGCCCGCTGCGAAAAGGACGTCTGAGGCAGCGAGACGGTGTCCGAGTAGAGCCCCTCCTCCTCCGCCTTCTTCTTGGCGAGGACCGCACCGGAGCGCGCCGCCGCCGGCGCGTGCGGCGAGAGCGGCGCCGGCCCGCGTGCCACGAAAGCGGCCGCCGAGCCGACCAGCAGCAGCAACCTCGCGCCAGCGAGCATGCTTCTTCAGAGAACCGGCTCGGGCAGATAAAAAAGAAATTGGGCTAGCACGGTGGCCAGTGTACGCTCGGAAGGGCCGGAACCGTCCTCGGGGATCACTATACGGACGCGGTGGCAGGATTGGAAGGCCCCGTAGCCGACGGGTGGGCGGGGGTTCGGAGGCTTCCTGGTGAGCTGGATTACGCCTGCATATGCGGAGAGACCTTCCCCACCCGCCTCCGGCGCGATATCCACGTTCGGGCGGCGAAGGTGGGAGAGGCGCATGACATCCCGCCAGAAGCGAGACCGCGCCTGGCGGCGGCATATATCCTGGTTGATGCGGACGCCCTCTCGCCGTACGAAGCGGGGGTGGCAGCGGGCGCGAGCCGGATGGCGACGCGCGGCGATCAGCTAGAGCACAGCACCTCGTCAGAGCAAAGAGCGCTGCTGGAGGCGACCCGCGAGTGCGCCGACGCCATACCCGACGGTGCGGTGGTGGTGGGGTCTACCGACAGCGACGCAATGCGGCGGGCCTTCCTGTCCACGTGTCACCGGAGCAAGTCGGTGAGGGACATGGTCCGAACGTCCGAGGCGGGGGTGCTCCGAGAACAGAGCCGGGTGATCGACGGATACAACGACCGAGGCATCGACTTTGCCGCCACGTGGGAGCAGGCGTACCATAACCGCGGCCAGAGGCAACGGTGGGACGGCAGGACGGGGCTGCTAGCGAGGCTGAACCACGGGTGCGACCTGCTGGCAGGACACTACGCTCAACATGGGCGGAGTAGGGAGCTCGACTTCTACGGGGCAATGGAACCGCAGGAGATGGCGACCTACTATTATACAGGAGGCGGGAGGCCGCTGTTCGGGGACCCGTACAAGCAGATTGGCGAGCGGGTAGAGGCGGTCAAGGCGCAGAGGCTGCTCCAGGAGGATGAGGACGCGCCGAGCCCCGGGGATAGGAGGGCGACGCTGCTCCTCCGACTGGGCGCTGACGGGAAAGTCGACCTGGGAGTGACGGCCGGCCTACGCAGAGCACTCCCGGGCCCGCTCTTGGAGGAGGCTATGCGGGCCACGCTAGGAAGAATGAGCTGCACGGCGTCAGAGTTACAGGCGCAAGGTGGGCCGGACGCTGAGGCCATCCGGAGGACAGTGCGGCTGGAAGGAGCTCGCCCCCGAGCCGCGTGCCACCTATGCGAGGGCGGCCCGGACACGCGCGCCCACTTCCGGTATGGCTGCGCTGCGTGCAAGACGGAGCTGGGAGGGGTCGCGATGGAGAGGTCGGCCCACCTGGCTGCGATGGCGGACTCGCTGTGGTTCGCTCCGGATTGCCGGCTTCCGGTGAATAGCGGGGCGGCTGGAAGGCGGGGAGCGGGGGTGTGGCGCCAGCTTCAAGCCTTTGAGATGGGCAAGGACCCCACGGTTCTGACTGTCCACACGGGGGGGCTGCGCCACGGCATGACTCCGGAGAGAGCGACTTGCCTCGCTGCGGTGTGGGCGTGTCGGACGTGGCCTGGAGCGCAGCGGTTGCCCGCTGCGGCTGTCCGGGTGTGTTCCGAGGCGGTCCGGGAGCGGGGTCGTGGCCCGCTGCGGATCGTGGTACAGATCGTCCCGGAGCTGAGGGCGTGGCTGAGGGATGCGTTCGGATTGAGAGGCGAGGCGCTCACCTCGGCGCTCACTATGTCGACGCTCTTCGAGGCCGCACCCAGAGTGGTGGGGGGGGCGTGGTCGGGAGGGGAGTGGGGGGTGGAAGTGGATGATGTCGCCGAGGACAGATGGGAGGCGAGACCGTGGCCGCACAACGTCTGGGGGGGGGGTCTGCAGACCACCCGGCCGAACTTCAGAGTGGCGGTGCTCCTGAAATACCGCTCAAACGCCCACGATGTTGTGGAGGGGACATATGCTGATGATCCTGGCCCGATTGGTTCGCTCAGAAAGCTTCTGGGCGGTCGCTAAGGTTCGCTCCCCGCACACCGGCCCCGGAATAAGATACATCATAGGCGCGGAAACGAATCTGCGAGGCGTGGCCGCTCATGCGGCCCGATGGGGAGGAGGGGAAGACGTAGGGCGTGCTTGCGCGCCTTTCTGAGGCCCCTCCAACCCACCCGCGCTAGGTCTCGGGGGACGAAGGGGTCACACCCGACGACCTCGGGAACTAGCCGGGGCAGTCGGAGAAGGGGCAACTCCGTGCACTGACGGTCGGCCGTCAGAAAACACGCCTCCGTGGCTCGGGTTACACCAATCCTCGCTACCCAACGCGGCCAAAGGATATCCACCTCGAGAACCTCGAGAACATGTGCTTTTTTTGTAGCTCGGCGCTCGGCGGACCAGAGACCGACGAACACACATGCACCCCTCCTCGCTGACTGCGTTGACCGGCCGCTTTCGGGTGGCCACCTCCCTCCTCGCCGCCGCTTGCCTCGCCGCAGTGAGCGCTGCACTTGTGGGCCGCGTCACCGTCCCGCGAGTGGGCCGCCGGCGCTGGCGCAGGCTGCGGCGCTCTTTGGCCACGCTCGTTCGGCCGCTCGGCCTGCACATGACGCCGGAGGGAGCAGGTCCGTGACACCGAGGCTGTTTGCCGCCGTCCGCAAACTTAACGAGCTCAACGCGCTCCTGACGCGGGCGCCACTCGATGGCGACGAGGGCGAGATGCTGTCGCACGTGCTCTCGCACCTGAAGAAGGCGCACCGGCTACCGGTGCTGTCGCGCGTGCGGCAGATGGTGCAGCAAGATCAGGACGCCACCAAGGGCGACGGCCAGCTCGACGGCCATCTCGCTCAGTTCATGCCTCGCCTGCCTCCCGTCGGCACGCGCCTAACAGAAGCTTCCAGCACGTCCTGACCCTTCCTAGACCCTTCCTAGACCCTTCCTATAGACCTTCCTAGCCCTTGACCCTTATTAGACCTGTCCTCTAGACCCTTCCTCTAGACCTTCCTAGCCCCTGACCCTTTCTAGACCCTTCCTAGACCCTTCCTCCAGACCTTCCTAGACCGCAGACCGTCCTCTAGACCCTTCCCAGACCCTTCCCAGACCCTCCCGACTCTTCCCGCCTCCCCGGCTCGCCACAGGATCGATGGCCGAGTTCAGCTCGCACCGCTCGTCGCTCGTGCACTCGCAGCCCGCGTCCGCCGGGTCGCCGCGCGCCTCCCTGCCCTGAAACCCTGACCCTAACCCCAACCCTAACCCTCACTCTCACCCCAACCCCAACCCCTACCCTGAGCCTAACCCTAACCCGCACCCTAACCCGCACCCGAACCCGCACCCGAACCCGCACCCTAGGTCGCAGCGCGCCTCCCCGTTCGCGTCGCACCGCGAGGACGAGGAGGGCGGCGCAGACTCCGCCGACGCCGCCTCGGGCGCCTCTCACCTCGACGGCACGCCCTCGGAGGTGGCGGTGACGGTCGCCTCCCGCGCCTCCGCCACCTCCGCCGCCTCCCGCGCCTCCGCCGCCTCCGCCGCCTCCCGCGCTTCCGCCGCCTCCCGCGCATCCGCCGTCTCTCGCGCCTCCGCCGTCTCTCGCGCCTCCGCCGTCTCCCTTGCCAGCGGCGCCACCGGCGCCAGCCTTGCCGGCGGTCCGTTCTTTGCCACGGCCGCCGGAGCGTCGCAAGCGCCGGCGGCGGGGCCAGCGCTGGCAGACGTGTCTCGGCGGGGAGCGTCCTTCGGGCTGCTCGGCTCATCACCTCCCCCGCCGCTTCCGCCGGACAACGAGGACGAGGAGGAGGAGGAGGAGGAGGAGGAGGAGGAGGAGGAGGAGGAGGAGGAGGAGGAGGGGGAGGGCGTCCCACTTCCTGGTAAGGCCGACGCGGCGCTTCGGGGGAGCCGGCGAGAGGGGCGGAGGAGCTTCGCTGTGGGCGGGGGAGGAGGCGCGCGGTCACCAGCGGAGGAGGCGTTAGTTAGTTAGGAAGGGGACGGGCAGCCAGGGGGCTCGGACTGGACGCTAGCTCGCGGTATGGGTGGTGGTGGACGCGAGACGGGAGATGCTAGAGGAGATCCGTGCCGGCTCCTGCCCGTGTCCGGACGTGGAGATGCGAGGGGCTAGGCTGGCCCCTCGCCCCACCACTTTGTGTGTGTGGAGACGTTTACCGTACCGTACTTTACCTTAGGCGTGTGTGCCAGCGAGCCGCGAGGCGCGCTGAGCAGCGTACCGCTGGCGGGGCGGGTGCGAGCCGCGAGGATGCCGAGCCGCGTCGGCGGCGGCGACGCGGGGCGGCGGGCGAGCGTAGAAGCTGACCACGTGTTTATGCATATCTCACAACAACATGTACATGTACATGTGCATGTCGTCCCAACCAGCACTCGAGAGGAGGCGTGTTCAGCGGTGCTCTGACTGCGCTGCACACTCCCGCAGATGCAAGGCGCGGGGGTCGACGGGGGGGGCGGGAGAGATCGAGGGTGGGGTGGGAGGAGTAAAAGGAGGGACACGAGGGGGGAGGTCGGGTGGGGGAGCTGCCGCCCTCATGTTGGCGCCTTCCACGTAGGCTGGCGTGGCTGCTCGAGCACGGCCCCGAGTGCTGGTCCGTCGACATGTTTGAGCTGCACCAGGCGGAGACACTTCCGAGACACTTCCGAGACACCTCCGAGACGCTTCTGAGACACTTCCGAGACACTTCCGAGACACCTCCGAGACACCTCCGAGACACTTCCGAGACACCTCCGAGACACTTCCGAGACACCTCCGAGACACTTCCGAGACACTTCCGAGACACCTCCGAGACGCTTCCGAGACACTTCCGAGACACTTCCGAGACACCTCCGAGACGCTTCCGAGACACTTCCGAGAGAGACACGCTCATGCTCGAGCTGCACCAGGCCTCCCGCCTCCCCATCGCCCCATGTGCCTCTCCTGGCATCTCGGAAGTGTCTCGGAAGTGTCTCGGAGGTGTCTCAGAAGTGTCTCACAATGCATCATGAGTGGCCCGCCTACCCGACCGCACACCGTGCAACGCCTCCCCCCTCCTCATCGCCCTGTGCCCGGTGCCAATCAGCTAACGGGCGGCCACGCACTCTCCGCCCTCGGCTGGGCACTGTTCGAACGGCACGGCGTGCGCGCGGCGCTCGGCATCAGCGCCGACCGCATGCGCGCGTTCCTCGCCGCCGTCGAGGGCGGGTACCACTCTGTGCCATACCACAACTCCGTGCACGCCTAGCTGTGAACGGCGTCTCTTCACACCTCCAGCTGTGAACAGGTGCCGTACCACAACTCCGTGCACGCCGCGTGCGTTACGCACGGCCTGCACTGGCTGCTGCCCCTAGACGTGGAATATCTCCCCCTATCTCCCCGTATCTCCCCATACCTGGCGCGCGAGCGGCTGCTCTCCATAGACGCGCGGAGTGCGTATTCGTGTCTCCCAACCAGCGCTCGAGCGGACGCGTGTCCAACTGTCTGTGTACCGCGTTCCACTAGTTCGCCCCGCTCGTACTCACGCGGTGCTCTGAGTACTCTGCACAAGTAGGCAGGTAGGTGTGACCTCACACTGTGTCTGGGCAGAGACAAGGAGGGCCCCCGCACACACATGAACCCACACATACAGAGAGGGACGCGTGCACGCATTGGGCATCAGAGAGCCATAAGTACACTGCACAAGACCGTGCTTTCGCTCCCGAGGCTGGCGTATATCTCCGGGTAGGCTGCTCACCTGCTCCGACAACTTGCGAGGCGTGGCGCCCGCGCCGCTGCAGATGCTGGCCGTGCTGCTGGCGGCGATGGTGCACGACTTGGGGCACGACGGCTGCAACAACTCGTTCCACTGCGCGGCCAACGACGAGATCGCCGTGCGGTACGCATACTCCTCGCCGCTCGAGCGGCACCACCTCGCCTCGCTCTTCGCCATCCTCAAGGAGCCTGCCGAGTCCCGCTCCCTCCCTCCGCCGCCCCGCTGCCCTGCTGCCCTGCCCCCGCACAAACACAACCCCGGGCCAAAGATGGCACGCACGGACGGCCGAGAGCGGGCAGGCAGACAGAGATCGACTAGTCAGACAGGCGACGCCGAGTCCCACGGCCAGGCTAGCGGCGACGCCCCACTGCGCTGCCCCCTCACACACTCGGGGCTCGCCCCCGTGCCTCTCGCGTCGGTCTCTAGCCCGCCGTCCGCACTGCACCGCTCATGGCTGCAGCAGGTTTCTGTTCTCTCTCTCTCTGTCCCTGTCTCTCTCTCTCTCTCTGTCTCGGTCTCTGTCTCGGTCTCTCTCTCTCTCTCTCTCTCTCTCTCTCTCTCTCTCTCTCTCTCTCTCTCTCTCTCTCTCTCTCCTCTCGGCTCACGTGCCGCCGCCTCTGTCCTAAAGGACCCCTCCACCGACATCCTCTCGCACCTGCCCACCGACGAGCTGCGCTACTTCCGAGAGACGGTGGTCTCGATGGTGCTCGCCACAGACTTTGAGAAGCACGCGTCGGTGCTGAGCAAGTTCACCGCCCTCGTCTCCTCCAACTCGTTTATGGAGGCCGGCGACGAGCACTGCGCGCGGCGGCGGCAGGAGGCGACGCCGCACACTCACACACACACACCGCTCACACACACACACCGCTCACACACACCGCTCACCCACGCGCACCGGGACTTGCGCTTTGAATGCCGCGGGGCTCCTGTCGTCTAGATTTGGAGTCGTCGCAAGCGACTAGCCTGGCCCTCGCCCCACCCTCGTGTGTGTGGAGAAGGGTAGACGTACCCTTCTAGGCGACGCCGGCGAAGCCCCTCTTTTGCTCGCGGCCCGACTGGGGTGTGTGCCGACCTTGCGCGGCGCCTGGAGGGGCGTCGACTCTCGAGGCGGAAGAAGCGAGGGGCGAATGGCCCGTCAGCCGGGGGCGGCCCCCTTGACGTGTTGGGGTTGTGAGACAGGTGGAGGAGGAGCGGCGACTCATCCTGCAGATCCTCATCAAGACGGCCGACTTGGGCAGCCCCTCCTAGTAGAAGCGGAGCACCTGCCGCATGTCCTCTCGAGTGTTCTTGTATGCCCACTCGCGCTCGAGAGGACACGTGCCTTCCTCTGCATTCGGCCGCATTCCGCTGTACTCGTAGCCCGTGCATTCACGCGGTGCTCTGAAGACGCTGCACGATGCAGTCTTCCCGCCCTGAGTTCCGCGTGTTCGCCATGTAGGCAACCTCTCCAAGGGGTGCGACTACTGCCTCGCCTTCACCGACGGCGCGGGGGGGCGCATCTTCTTAGGCTGCGGACCGCGTCTCTTCACGCCGTCTCCCCGCCAACAGGCGTCATGAAGGAGTTCTTCTCGCAGGGAGACCGCGAGCGGTCGCTCGGGTTGCCGCTGACGCCCGGCTACCAGCGCGAGAGCGCCGACGTCGCCTCCTCGCAGCTCGCGTTTTACCGTTTCATCGTCGAGCCGCTCTACAGCGCAGTCGACAACTTGGTGCCCGCGGGCGAGCTGCTGTCCAACCTCGAGCATATGCGCACGGAGTGGGAGGCGAAGCGGCAAGCCTCGCTCGAGGATCAGCTGGCGTGGCTGCGCACCTCGCGCGAGCGGATAGTCTGACCAGCGACAGGCGGTACGTATAGGGACGAATGGTGCGTGAGTGGTGAGAAAGTACAAAATCGTAGCCCCTCTGCCTCTCGCCGCTCTCATCTCCTGCATAAAGCCGTATTGTGCATTTTTCCGCCCGCACGCGCGCAATATGGCCAATGCAAGACACGGCCACACAGGGCTAATCCGATCGCACCGCCGCGCCCACCCTGCTCTCAAGTCTCGTCTGCGCGCGCCCAACGGCGATGACAGAGTGGAGGGAGTGTGACGCCGTGTGCCGCTGCCGGCGTGGGAGCCCCTCCCCGCCCCTCGAGTACGAGGTGGTGCGGCGAGCATGTGGCAGCCAAGATGTCGCTCTCGAGTGCCGCGTCATCGCGGCACACCGGTCATCTCGACCAGCGTGAGCCCGGCATTCGCCGGCGCACTCACGACAGGTATGGCTGGTTGTGCTCCGTTGTGGTGAGGGTGCCGTTGCTCCCGCGGCGGCAGCTGCTGTTGCTGCTGCTCCAGTACTAGTGGCAAGGCTTGATGCTGCATCAACGACACCAGTGGCACAGCGCAGCTGCTGGTCGCTCCATAATGTTCAAAACCGCGCGATGGTATTTGATGCTGCAGGGGCAGTGCCCACTGCGGCTGCGTGACCCCCAGTAGCTCCTGCACCAGTGCGCATGGCTGCGACAGTCGTTGCTGCGGCAGCCACTGCTGCTGCAACGCATGCTGCTGCGCCCGTTCCCGGTGCGATTCATACTGCTGCGTTGGGGCCCACTGCCACTGCTGCGGTGGCGGCGCCGGCGTAGGCACAGGCGCCAGGCTGCTGGAACCACATAAGTCCATGGGGCAGCCAGCGACACCCGCCGGCGCCGGCACCTCGCCGTCGCTGGCCTTGCTTGTGCAGCGGCGCTGGAGGCAGGGCTGGCGAAGCGTCCCCGCCCCTCCGTGCTTTCGCATGTCGAGACAGAAGCGGCACGCGCCGCAGTTCGGCGCCTCACACGCTGAGCAAACGCCGCAGCGCATGATCTTCTTCTGCCGCGCGCGAGCTTCGCCGCCACTCCGCCGCCGTGTGGCAAAGGTAGCGGGCGGTGTGCGGGGCGGTGGGAGCAGCTCTGGGCTTACCAGGCGTCCCGCATCGCACAGCCCTGTCGCGCGCTCCGCGAGGCTGTCGGCGGGGCGAGACTTTAGCCAGTAGTCAAACGCTAGCTCGTCGGAGGCGAGGACCTCACGCCGTAGCACCGCCGCGCCGCCTCCGCGCTTGGCTGCGAGCTCCCCGCACAAACGAAGAAGCGAGTCGGACGCCTCGCTAAAGGTTGGCTCGACCCGTGCCACCTCCGCTTCTCCCGCCTCTACCTGCTCGGCCAACTCGCACATGTTGCCCGGAGGCGGCAGCATCATGCACACCCAGCGCTCATCCGCCCCGGGAGCGGAGCCGGGGGGCAGGCGGCGCCTGTTACCAGTACACAATGGATCTGAGGGTCCCTAGCGCGCGTGCTCTCCCTCGCCCTCGCCCTCTCCCTCGCCCTCGCCCTCTCCCTCTCTGTCTCTCTCTCTCTCTCCCTCTCTCTCTGTGGGGTGTGTGTGTGTGTGTGTGTGTGTGTGTGTGTGTGTGTGTGTGTGTGTGTGTGTGTGTGTGTGTGTGTGTGTGTGTGTGTGTGTGTGTGTGTGTGTGTGTGTGTGTGTGTGTGAGTGTGTTTGACTGTATGTGTGTGTGTGTGTGTGTGTGTGTGTGTGTGTGTGTGTGTGTGTGTGTGTGTGTGTGTGTGTGTGTGTGTGTGTGTGTGTGTGTGTGTGTGTGTGTGTGTGTGTGTGTGTGTGTGTGTGCTTCATAGGGGGGGGGCACCAGGCGTGGCAATCGTCGCACTGTGCCCACGAGCAAATGTCGTCGCTGCCACTGCCGCGTGTTGCGCGCAGCTGCAGGCGAGCGGCGGCGGCCCGCTCCACGCGCTCCAACTGCTTCTCTGCGCACCGCCGTGCGTGCGACGAGAGTGCGCTATCCTCTGCCACCCTGAGCAGGTCGGTGAGCGACCGGAGCGGCTTCAGCTTGCCACGCTGCAGTGCCAAATTGGCGAGATCAGCAAGCGACACAGCCTTCTCCCGAACCCTCCAGTGCTGCCTGTCCGTGAGCTCGAGCCACTTGCCGCCGGCTGTGCGAAAGCACAAGTTAGCGGCCGTGTTGCCCGCGCGAGCGTGCCGGCACGGGAACTCTGCCGGGTGCGTGCCGCGAAACTGCCAGGGGAGCGGATTCGCGCCATCTAGCGACGCCACCCTGCCCGCGCCGGCTGCCTGCGACCACTCCGCGGCGATGGCGTAGCCCACCTCGCGCGCCTGAAGCGGACTGACCATGTTGGCGAGGGCGCTCGCCTCGGCCGTCTCCTGTCGCCCAGCGCTGCGCCCTCGCGTCGTGGTCTGCCAAGCCTCCGGCAGCGCAGAGGCCCTCGCAGCCAGCCAAGCTGACGCCTGCCAGTATTGCCCGCGGCAGAAAATTGCGATGTTGAGGTTCGAGTTGTAGGCAGGCAAGCGCGCCGTGTGCGCCGCGACGCCACCCTTGGCCGCGAACCGGCCCTCGCTCAAGCCGGTGGTGAAGGCAAACACCTCCGACGAGGTTGAGGCCTCAGACAGAGAGCCGCCGCACAGTGGCGCACCCTCCCTACCGCGGCCAGCCACGTCTCTCGCAGGCGCCTCTCCGCGCGATGTCAAGAGGTGGCGGGCGAGGGCGGCAGCGGGCGAGAAGCGTCCGCCACGCGAGTGCACCGAGAGCAGCCGCGTGCGCGAGTGCAGGTCGCCCGCCACCCAGGTGGGCATGAGGCAGTAGGCGTGCTGTTGGAGGGGAGGGAGACGTCAGGTCGCAGGGGGGGAGCTATGGGGCGCTATGGGGCGAAGATTCCGCGCCTGGGAGAAGCCGCATTGCTCCTCGAGCGCGGCGACCCACGCAGTGTACGAGGACCGCTCCTGGCCGTCGAGGACGGAGAGGTACTCGGGCACGTTCTCGAAGAAGACGATCTCGACCTGCGACGCCGCCGCGAGCCGCTGAAGCACCGGCTCAAGCAGCGCCTCCGTCTCTTCCGGCTTCCGGTTCGGGTTCCACTTGGAGTGGTTCTGGCATAGCGTCGTGACTTGGACTAGCCGCGTGGTGCGTGGGTAGGGCCGCGCCATCCGTTGGCTCGGATTTAGGACCTCCACGCCCGGGAAGCGCTTCCTCAGCACGCCTGCGTTGTGACGACCTGCTGTGCAGTCGTCGCGTTCCGACGCCTCGAGCAGGCGCAGCTTGAGACCTGCTTCTTCGAAGCCCGCCTGCGCTCAATGCGGTATGAGAGGCGGGGTGTGGGAAAAGAGCAGGATCATTAGGAAGTGACTGCTCGCCTGCAGACCGTGCTCGAGCGCGCCAATGCCCGAGAACTCGGAGACGCAGTCGATGGTATCTCCCCTGACCGGACCCGGTGGCGCGCACCGCTGGTCCGCAGCTGCCTTGGTTGCGGTTTGAGGGCTGCGACTTGTGGCGGTGCAGGAGCTGCAGTCGCACGGCCTGCCTTGCATGCACGCCTGCGTGGGAGGAAAGGGGGGGGGGGGTTGAAGATGCGAGTTCCGTGTTCGCAGTGGAAGGGTCAATCGGTTTGCGTGCCTTGCAGCAAAAGCATCCGGTGACGGAGCGGCCCGAAGGCCGCGTCCCGTCTTTCCCCTCCACCCTCACCGCTGTGGACTGCACCATCTGTGGAACGGCCACGTCGTCACGTCGGCGCCGCTGCTTCGCCGGATGCCGTTCCTCCGGCTGAGTTGATGCCGGCGCTTGCACGGCTGCCTCGGCCTGCCGTTGCCTCCGACGCTGAAAGACCGTTCCGCCCTGACTAAACTTGATGGGGACAGCACAGCGATCATACGCCTCGGCTGCTTGAGCGATGGACACTCCTGGTGGCAGCTGGTTGCCGTTCCTGGCCGCGGAGCACTCCCAGGGCTTATCTGGCGCAGCCTGCTCCCAGGCATAGCGGAGGAGGTGGAGTGGTGGCGGTCGAGAGAATTCAAACTCGCGGGAGACGGCCTTCCGCTGTCGCTTGGCGGGCAGCGGATCCAAATCGCCCTGTAGACGAGGGTTCTCAACTGCCGTGCAAGAGAGGCAGCCGCATGGCCTGCCGAGCATGCATGCCTTGCAGCAGAAGCACCCCGTCAACGAGCGGCCGCTTGGCCGCACCTGCAATGCGGGAGCGGCTTGGTGAGACTATTTCAGGTTTTGCTAGAGCGCGGCGAGGGCTGAGATGCGACTACAGCTTGCCATTCTGACGTGGCCACTGTGCGGCCGGCGCGCGAAACAGAACTACGTTTTTCGATTTGATAATTACGCGGTTGCGCTTTCTTTTTATTTAAATTCTTTTTATTTGTGCGCCAGTCCCGTGCCTAGTGTCGTGAGAGAGAGTTTTGTCGTGGATTAGTTTTTCTTTTGTTGAGAGCGCCTTCGTTGTCAACATACGTGTACCTCTTCGCGCTTGCTTGTGAGTCCTTCGGTAGTCTTGCCATGGGATGTCTGTGCGTGCTAGTGCTAGCCCCGTCGGGTGGAGTGTGTGCTTGAGCTCCTCCTCTGAGTGCGTGCTGCGCGTGCGTGCCCCCGCCCGATGTATTTTCCCTAGCTAGAGCGTAGGAGACAAGTAAGTCCTTCTGCAACCCTCGCACATTGTCTCTGCCGCGCACATTGTCAATGTCTCGTCTGCGTCAGCCTCCTCGCTCCTGAACTCCAGCATGGAGGAAGAGGAGGCTCGCAAAGCACCTTCACCGTCCCCACCCCCGCCCTCACCGCCGCCACCCTCACCACGCCTTTCTATCATCATCATCATCAGCTCATCTGCTGCTCACACCACTCTCTGCACAGTTGACACAGCCTACTCTGTGTGCGGCTGCCACAGCTGTGACAGCAATGGGCTCGCCCTCACTGGTCCTCACAGTCACTTGTGCTGCGGCTTGTGTGAGCGACACTGCTCGGCGACTGATCTGACCCCGACTGGCGACTGGCGACTGGGTGTGAGGTAAAAGCGCATAAAACCACGCCCTCACCCTGCGCCGCGCGCTCGACACCTTTCACAGTGGCTCGGCCAAGTGCGCGGGGCTTGCATTTTTGGATCGCCGCATCCTAATACGTACGTGGAGCAAGTCACAGTCAGCCACACACCTCACACTGAACAGCACCTAACCTGCCGCCCGTTTTTAACTGGCACCCAGCAGCAGAGCGGCACCCAGCACGGCGCGCTCTCTCCGCACCACATTTATGTATTACGCACACGCGCCTCGCTCCGCCACAGGGGTTTTCACACGCGGATCTGGCCGCGCACGAGGGAGCGTTTATTTGGCGTCTATTCGGTGCTTTACCGAGTCCCCATTGCCAGGTGAAGTTGTGCCAGACCCGATGTCACCACTTCCAGCAGCTCTGCGTCTTCACCGAGCTACAGGACGCACACAGCAGAAACTTACTGCAAGGAGGGCGAGTAGAAAAAATCTGGCAATGAAAAAAGAAAAGAAGGCCTCAATCAAGAGGAGGGGAACGAGTGAGGTCCGTGGGTCTCTTGGGTCTCTTGAGGCGTGCCGCGCCCTGCCGCCCAGCGAGAGGGCCGGGGCCCTGCGCCGCTGAGCCCGCCCCCCGCCCCTCCCTCGCCCTCCTCTCCCTCTCCCTCCCCGCCCGCGGCCGCGACGCGTGCAGTGGCTCGCGCCGCCGCCCGAGCCGCGCCTCCGCCCTCCGATCCCCGGCCAGCATCTCTGCGTGACACCGCGCCCGCGCCGCGCCCTGCCGCGCCACGCCCGCGCCACGCTCCGCACTGGATTTGCTCATGCGCCGCCCGCTCCGCACTGGATTTGCTCATGCGCGCGCTGAGCGCCGTCCGCCGCCGGCGGCCGCCGCCGCTCCTCATGATTTCTCCGCTCACATCGGACTGCCTCCGTCCGATCAGGTGCCGTGTCTGAGGTGCGCCTCGCTCTTCATCTAGATGCCTCTACCCTTCCAGCCCGTCCCCACAAAGAAACGCAAACACAGCCCACTTCGCACGAGTCGCGCGGTCTCCCGATCGACGCGCCCAAGCCGCGGCACAACTCCACGAGGGCCTTCGAGGTCCCATGTATTGCGATTCGGCCCGACTTCGCAAACCGCGCAAAGTCATGACTTTTGTTTGAAGCCCCCCCCCCCCCCCCCCACACACCACCACCCACCCGCTCCTCCCGGCATCTTGCTCTGCTCTGCAGGACGCGCGCCGAGAGGCGCTACATGGTCGACTTCAATGAGAGCGAGGGCGAGTCGGCTTTCTTGGTTGTGAGATCAACAAGGGGCGTCTGGTTCGACAACCCCCACGTGTTCCATCGGAGCCTCGCAAAGGTGCCAATCAGCTTTGGTTTCGCGCCTGAGGAGGGGGCCCAGGTTCAGACCGAGCTCGGGCCAACGGCTTCCGTCAAGGTCGGTGGCTACTTCGCTTCCAGTGCGGAGTATGAGGAGTGGTATCAGCGCCGCCGCGCGAGCCTGACGCTGCCGCCTTCGCTCGGAGCTGAGGTGCGCACTTTGACGCCAGGATCGGCATTGTCCCCCTGCGGTGTCCCCGTCTCCAAACATTTACGTATCTCCCTCGCGCAGGCGTGCGGCGTCAACAACGACGTCGTTGTGAAGGAGGAGGCCGCCACTCAGGAGGCCGCCTCCGAGGAGGCCGTCGTCGCCGAGGAGTCCGCCACCGAGGAGGCGAACATCACGTCCGCCGCCGCCGAGGTGTCCGCCGCCGCGGAGGAGTCCGCCGCCACCAAGTCCGCCGCCGCCGAGTCTGCCACCGAGAAGGCCGCCACCGAGGAGGCGACCATCAAGTCCGCCGCCGCCGAGGTGTCCGCCGCCGTGGAGGGACTCGCCGAGGAGGCGCCCGTCGCCGAGGAGGCCGTCGCCGAGGAGGCTGCCAAGGAGATCGAGAAGCCGGCACCGGCCAAGACCGTTTCCAACCCGCCCGACAAGCGGCACATTGAGGTGGAGGACGACGAGTCGAAGTCGTGGAGGAAGAAAAACCGCCGCAAGCAGATCAAGCGGGTTTTGGCGGGGCTTGTGGCCATGGCGAGAGAGTCCGAGGCCTGCGCCTCCCTCATTCTGGCGTGGTTGTCGCCGCCTTCGCGCCTCACAATAGCCGAGGTGCGCGTTTGCACGCCAAGATCGTCATCGTCCCTCCGGTCTCTCCGAACACCTGCGCATTCTCCCTCACCCAGGCGCTCGGCATCAAGAACGACGTCGTCGTGAAGGAGGAGGCCGCCACTGAGGAGTCCGCCGCCAAGTCCGCCGCCGCCGAGGAGTCCGCCACCGTGGAGGCAGTCGCCGAGGAGGCGACCGTCGCCGAGGAGGCCGTCGCCGAGCAGGCTGCCAAGGAGGTCGAGAAGCCGGCCAAGACCGTTTCCAACACGCCCGACCCAACGGTGAGCGCGCCGCAGCATTCTGTCCTGGCACTCCAAGGTTTCCACCCACCGGTAACAATCTCTCTCCCGTGTACCCCTACACGCTGTAGGAGTGGGCCGACCTGCCAATGGTCGTGGAGGACAGCTTCTACGCCTCCAAGCCGGTGTTTCTGACCAGCGTCGAGATCGGGTTGGCGGAGCGGCGCGCTGCGAAGATCATGCAGCGCGTCTCGCGCGGGCTGCTGGCGCGCAAGATGGTGGCCGTGAAGGAGGAGGCCGCCACCGAGGAGGCCGCCACCGAGGAGGCCACCGCCGAAAAGTCCGCCGCCAAGTCCGCCGCCGCCGAGGAGTCCGCCGCCAAGTCCGCCGCCGAGGAGTCCGCCACCAAGTCCGCCGCCACCGAGGAGGCCGTCGTCGCCGAGGAGTCCGCCACCGAGGAGGCGACCACCAAGCCCGCCGCCGCCGGTGTGTCCGCCGCCGCGGAGGCAGTCGCCGAGGAGGCGCCCGTCGCCGAGGAGGCCGTCGCCGAGGAGGCTGCGAAGGAGGTCGAGAAGCCGGCCAAGACCGTTTCCAACACGCCCGACCCAGCGGTGGTGAGCGCGCCGAAGCATTCTCTCCTGGCACTCTCCTCGCTCTCCCACGGGTAATAATCTCCCTTCCCGTGTGCCCCTATCGCGCTTTGCAGGACACCGCCTGCCACCCGGGCCTGCCCACGCCGAAGGCGGTGGGGAAGAGCGGGCCCGCGTCGGCCCGCAGCGGCTCCGGACCGGGCTACGTGGTCGGCGTCGAGGCCGAAGTCCGCCGGCTGGGCGAGAGCGTCGTCTACCAGGCTACGCCCGCCGACGGCAAGAAGTCGCCGTCGCCGGGAGTCGCCACCTCCGGCGGCATTGCGCCCGTGGCGCCCAAGCCCCTGGGCGCGGGCGCGGACGCGGGGCAGGCCGACGCCGAGTCACGCGAGTACTATCTCGCCGTGCGCGACAAGGCGATGGCCGCGATCTTGCTCACCAAGATACAGCGGGCGAAGCTGGACGCCGAGCGGTCGGGGTGCGGGTGCAAGTGCCGGCGCAAGGCCATGCGCTGCCGCAACAACCCCACGTTTGGCAAGGGCAGGCGCAAGTCTGGCAAGGCAGAGGGCCGGCGCAAGTCTGGCAAGGCAAAGGGCCGCGACCGCGGCTCGCACCGGCGACCGAAGCCGCGCGGCGGGCAGCAGACGCCGCCTTGCAAGTCGCCGGACCGGCGCCGCGAGCCGCAGACCACGTACGGCAAGGCGCCATTCGCCGCTGGCACGTGCGGCGCCGGCGCTGGCACATGCGGCGCCAGCGGTCGCGCCGGCCTCAAGGCGGCGGCCGACTGCGTGCAGGGCGGCTACACGAAGGCCGAGGGCGCCTTCCGGTGGCTGCTCCTCGCCTGCCTCCCCGCCTTCGGCCACTGCGCGTCCGCCGTGCCTAGCCCGGCGGCGGTGGCCTCGGCCTTCTCGTCTGCCGTCGCCTCGGCAGCCTCCGTCGCCTCGTCGGCGTCCTCTACCTTCTCATCCGGCGTCGCCTCGGCGGTGTCCTGGGCCTTCTCGCCCGCCGTCGCCTCCAAGGCGTCCTCGCTCGTGAGCTGCTCGCCGCTTCTCATGCCCGCCCTCGTGCTCATCCTCCTCGCCGTCGCCTGCGGCGCCGCCGGGCTGCTAGCGGCGAGCGGGAAAGCGGCTCGCGGCGCGGCCTCGTCCGCTGTCGTCTGCCTCGCCGCCGCCACGTGCCTCCCCGGCGCGGCGGCAGCGCCCGAGGGCCTCTCCTCGTCGAGCGCTCTCTCGTGGTTTGTGCCGCCGATCGCCGCCGCCGTCGCCGTGGGCGCCGCCGTGTTGGTGCGCTGGCGGCGAGGCAGGGACAAGGCAGCCGCCTCAAGAAGGAGCAGCACCACGGCTTCGTTTCCCATTTGTCCTAACGAAGGCCATTTGTCGCCGCCGCCGTCACCGCCGCAGCCCGACACGCCTGTGCGGCGCGGTGGCTCGTTTCTCGATCTGAATGTTCTGAGTTGTGCGCCTGGTACGTCTGGCCCAGCTGGCCCCACTGGCCCTGCTGGTCCACCTGGGGAAGATGGAGCACCGGGCCCACCTGGAGAGGCCGGGAAGGACGGAGAACGGGGCCCGCCTGGCCCACAGGGGCCGCCGGGGCCGCCATGGTGCAAGAATTTCTGCTGCGGGACAAGCAAATGTTTCCGGCGCCATTATCGTTGCCTCGGTGCGTCCACGGCGCTGATGCTTTTAGTCGCCATCGTCGTTGCTGCCGTTTGTGGGGCCGGGCTGTGCATTCCTCCGTTGCCGCCATCCTGCAACGACGAGATCATGAACTGGATCGAGACCGACGTGGACTGCGGAGGTGGTTGTCAGCCCTGCAAGAACTACGAGGGGTGCGCGGTGAACACCGACTGTGAGTCCAGATACTGCAAAATTTGGATGGCGCCACCGCCGTCGCCGTCGCCAACACCGCCCCCGCCGCCGGGGCCTAAATCTCCGCCTAAACCTCCGCCGGGGCCTTCTCTGCCGCCATCGCCTAATTCCCCGCCTCTTCCACCGGGTGTGCCTTTGAAACCCGCCGCGCCCCAGCCTGTGCCGCCCCCATCGCCCCCATCGCCCACGTCACCGCCTTCACCCCCACCGCCCCCGTCACCGCCTTCACCGCTTCCGCCGCCGCTACACCCGCCGCCGGCGCTTCCCCCGCCGTCCTTGCCTCCCACTTCTCGCAGGCATCTCAGCGTCTGGGAAGATGGCGCTCCAGGTCTTTGCCAGAGTGCCCTACCTACGGGTCCAATGCCCGACGCCTGGGATTCCGATAACAGAGGCGCGTTGGTTGCCACCCTGCCTCCGAACTACCAGCAGCAGCAGTACACGTCCAATTGCGCCAATATGGGAGGCAGGTGGCGATTTTGGAACGGTGACAGCGAGCTATCGGATTCATATTGGCTCGGCTGTCACCTGCTTGGGGCACGGCTGGCGCGCACGCTTGCAAATGACGTGTTTCCGGCGGACGTTTCTGCTCTGATGGCGGCTGCCACCGGCAGCGTCATTGACCCAGAGATGGATGCGCAAATGGTCAAAGATGGGTGCTATGCACTGCACCGAAATCCGCCAGGAACGATCGTCTCTTCCACGTTTCAGTGGTCGACAGAAGCCGAGTACTCGTCAGAGGTGGAAAAGTCAACTTCCTTCTCCGCGAATGTGGAGGGCACGTTCAAAGGGGTGAGTGTGTCAGCCGGCACAGAGAACTCGCGTGGCTACTCTTCCTCGTCAAAGCGTGAGACCAACAACGTCGGCGCCGTCATCAGCCGATCCATCCAAATTGCAGAGCTGGAAAATACCTGCCTGCAGTCTGGCCCAGATGCCGCCAAGGCCTATCTCAGTAAAGACTTCACGGAGTTGGTCGAGGAAGTTATTGAAACCTACCGAAGTTGCTACGACAAAATGGCGTGGGGCGATAACCACGCACTCCGAGTAAAGGTAGGCCGATTGGTTGGCTTTGGCGCGATGCTCCCGGTCCGGTGGGACTACTCGTACTTTGCTAAGTATAGCATGCGAGCCGCTTTGACGGCCAGCTCGACCGCGACGACCGAGGAACTAAGCGACGCAATCAAAGTCGCCCTCCGTGTTCCCGCGATCAAAGTTGGGGCCAACGTCTCTTACGTAACCAGGGTGAAAGAAGCATTCGAATCGAGAGCAAAGGACACAACGCTCGAAGTCACAGAGCAAAGAATGGGGCTTTGCCCGTGGGATGAGGATGAGGTCCCGATCGACTCGTGGGATGGGATGAAGATGAGCCACGCTTGGACGAAGTGCCAAACCGGAAGCTTTCGCGAATGGGGCGGCCAAACGCCGATGGTGGGGCAGCCGGGCGTGATAGACGTCATGTCTCTTTTGCAGTTTTACGATCCCCCAGAGACTAAGCCAGGACTTTACTCCAAGGCGATCCTGAAGAACGTGGTGTACCAATACTACGCTGACAGTGGTGGCTGGTTCAACAATCTCCCACGTGATACCAATACAACCGGCGACACTGGAGCTTGGCTTTTGTCAGAGAGAATGAAAGGGATTGCAAATGCACTCCACGAGCGAGTGTTCGGTAAGGAATCAGATCAACTGGCCCACAAATCATACAGGTCTGACGGCGACTCCATTGAGTTTTTGGCATGCGACATCATCTTTCCTGGCGTGAGCTTTTCGCACAAGTTTTGTTCACCTCCTCCTCCGCCGCCGCTGCCGAGTGGAGGCGGAGGTCGGCGATCTCTGCGAGAGGTTTCTCTCTCGCCGATTGAAGTACCCGAAGCTGAAGCCGGTGGTGATGACAGTGGCAGTCGGCGACGTCTCAGCGCATATTGGCAAGTGAAATTCTTGATCAGAGGGACAAACGGTGTTAGCACTTCTTTCCCATTCGAAGACCCAGAATTCATATTCACCGATCCCGAGAATGGAGACCGTGGCGCTGGCTGTGGAATGTGGTGGAACAGGGACAAGTGCCATTGCGAACTGAACGGAGACGGTCAGCTGATCATGAGAGGCGCTGGGACGTCGAATACTCCGACCGGCCTTGCATTTGGATGCAGATTCAAGGCCGGCCCCACGACATGCAGCGTCTATGTTGTACTTCCTTTTATCGCCGGGAGAAAAAACCACCTCAAATGTTCGTGCGACGATCAATCCTACAAGTTCGAAACGATCCGCGGGGTCCAAACAACTCAGGAAGCAGGATGCAAAATCAAGGATAAAGGCCGCGAGTTCGTATCAACTCAGGAGAATCCGTATCAAATCCACGTGATCGCTCCACCTCCCCCATCGCCGCCTCCGTCGCGTTGCAGCAAATCGGCGAATGGAGACTGGACGTGCCCGACGGTTGACGAATTTTGTTCAAGGCAGATCCCGGGGACCGTGCCAACCGAAGTTCTCCAAATCGAAGAAACAGGCGGCACCTACAGATTGAAGACTCCCAAAGAAGCTAGAACGTATCTGGCACTCGAAAGCGACATCTTGGTGCGCTGCGAATTTGTCCTTTAATGCCCTCGCCGCTCTCCTCACGGCAACTGGGGCATAGGCGCGACCGCAATCAGAAAATGCAACTGAGAATGAATCGCTAATGTGAACGTAGTGGCGTAGGACACTGTGCAACGCGAGCAAAACCAACGACAGCCAGCCTTCGGACGCACGAGTTCTGGCTGAGATACAGTGCGCACTGTACTTACTAGGCAGCCTTTCCGGATCACAATCACACGCGTGGCTGACACATTGTTTAGAATAGCCAAAGCAAAACCACGGGAATGTACGTAAGAGCCACATACAACGAAAAAGCTAGATGGCTGGGTGCACAGCTGGGAATTTTTTCTCACCAGCTATCCGGGCAGCCCCCCTCTCGCGAGGCTGGGGGTGGGGCTACGGAGTGCGGGAGCCAACTGCGCGCACGTGGCTGGCGGGGGTGGCGGGATGGCTGCTGTCGATTATCACCAGCCATGCGCCGGAAGATGGCTGCAATCGCTGTGCCCCAGCCATCTTACCCAAAATGGCTGCGGCAGACGATAAACACTCGTTTACTCGCTGGAGCCGAGCAGGAGAGCCTCGCTAACTACACGTCTTCGCTGAGCGGGCCAGCGGCTGTGCACGTATCGCCTCCCCGCCCCTCCCGCGCCCCCGCCTCCCAGTCCGCCTCCACCGCCTCTGGCGGCAGCCCGAGCGACCTTTTGAGCGACCTTTTGAGCGATTACCTGTCGAGCCGAGGTACGGCATGTCGGGTGGGTACAGCGGCACCCGGTTTACCCGTGTATTGGTTCGTACGGTCATACTGCGGACCGAAAATCACGGATTTGGCCCCTCCGCACGCGTCCGAATGGCGCTCCGGATCGGTTCTAATCGGCTACCACGCGGCGGCACGGTCTTACTGAGGCCTGTTGGCTGTGGCCGGGATGCGCACGGCACGTGTGGACCGCTTGGTGGTGCGGAGGTCTGCCGCGGGCGACTCTCAGGGTCGACTTTGTGACGGCACGGAGCCTCTGCTGCTCCGGGGGGGGGGGGGTCTGCAGAGACTAACGGCCGATCTAGAGAGGGCTGATGCTCCTCCAATACGGCTCAAACCCCTATGATGTTTTGCAGGGGACATATGCTGATGGTCTGGGGCCTTAAGGTTCGCACAGAAAGCTTCTGGGCGGTCGTTAAGGTCCGCTCCCCGCACACCGGCCCGAAAGTATGGTACCCTAGATTGTGCGTTTATAAGAATCTTCTGTTTTGTTCGAGCGGCCACCGACCAAGCTCAGGCTCGCCGCGGCGTTGGAGGACGCCACCGTCGCCTAGACTCCCCTGCGTCAAACTATCGGCTCCCTCTCGTTCTGTAGTCGTCTGCACCCACAGGTCAGGTGACCAATCTACAAGTACAAACAACGACCAGTTCGAGAGCTCGGACGCGATGGATACCCACACCCCAGCCCGTACCACCGCGAAAAGAGGCGGGAGCACCTCTCACCGCGCCCCGAATCGCGCGACCGCGTCCAGCAGCTTCATCACGCGCAAGCACTCTTCCGACCCGAACTCGGCCACCTATAGGAAGGTGCGAGGAAGTGTCACGGGGCGACGGGGTGTGGGCGTTGCTCCTTTCCGATGAGTCGCAACGACTAGATTGTTT